AAGTGGAACGAAATGCGAAGAAAGTGGAACGAAATGCGAAGAAAGTGGAACGAAATGCGAAGAAAGTGGAACGAAATGCGAAGAAAGTGGAACGAAATGCGAAGAAAGTGGAACGAAGTGCGAAGAAAGTGGAACGAAATGCGAAGAAAGTGGAACGAAATGCGAAGAAAGTGGAACGGAATGCGAAGAAAGTGGAACGAGATGCGAAGAAAGTGGAACGAAATGCGAAGGAAGTGGAACGAAATGCGAAGAGAGTGGAACGAAATGCGAAGAAACTGGAACGAAGTGCGAAGAAACTGGAACGAAATGCGAAGGAACTGGAACGAAATGCGAAGAAACTGGAACGAAATGCGAAAAAATTGGGACGAAATGCAAAGAAACAAGGCAAAACAAAGACGGAAGAAGCGAGACAGCGACAGGAGACCAAGACGACGCGGCAGACAGACGCCAGAAAACAAGCAAGGCGAAACGCAAACACAGAAGCAGAAAGCAGAACGGAGCCCGAAAGAAAAACACCACAAGAGCGAAAACCCAAGAGACGAAACGAGAGAGACCCAACGCCAAGAAAGCGAAACGAACAAAGGCGAAGAAGGCGGGCTGAACGAAATGCCAAAAAGCAAGAGGAGACCGGCACACGACGCCACAGATGAGGAGCAGAAAGAGACCAAAGAAGCGCCAAAGACAGAACGAAGCCAAATAAGAGAAAGACGAAAGAAACGAAGCACAAAGCGAAAGCAAAAAGACACGAAGAGAGTGGACCGAAGTCCCAAGGCGGTGGAACGGGGTGCCAAGAAGGAACCCGGGGCGAAGCACCACACGGAGCAAGAAAGCAGAAGAGGACGGCACACCAAGAAAAAGACTAAGACACACAACACGGCGCGAAGCATCAACACGCCCAAACACGCTGCCCCGCTGTCAGCTCCCAGCGGACTAGGAGAGCAACCCAGCACGCGGGCGAAGCTCATCAGAGAACAAAAGAGCGAAGAAGCACGGGGGCGGCGTGTGGCTTTCTGGGCCCTGGAACTTTTGACCGAGATGCCGCCGCGCGCGGCGCTTCAGCTGCTAAAACCATGCAGACACACCCCCCCCCACACGTGGCGCGCGCGGCTTCCTCGCGGCGACGCGCGTCCCCTCCCCCAAAGACCGACGCGCCTGCGCCCGCGTCTCGCCTAGCAGGTTGGCTGCGGGCTAAATCCACGGCGGCCGCTGCTAGCCGACACAGCTAGGCGAAGGCACAGGGGGGCTTCCCTGGTTCTAAGAGCTGCAGCAGCTTCCAGCTTCACGCGGGTCTTCTAGGCGCAGGCGCTTCCGATTCTAGGAGCAGGCGCTTCCGATTCTAGGAGCAGGCGCTTCCGATTCTAGGAGCAGACTTCCCCAACTCTAGGAGCGGGCGCCTTCGATTCTAGGAGCAGAAGCTTCCCCTTCTAGACAAATCCCACGCCTTGAAGAACCAGCCCCAAGTGAGTAATTCGTGTATTTCTTGAGTACTTACCAAGGAGAAGGAGCACGAGTAAGTACTTAAACGTATAAAAAATTCACAGTACTGTGCATCAAGTATCCAACTCTAAATTAAGGGTGCAGTACGAGTCGCGCTTTTATCCACACTAGCTGCTCCCTCCATCAGCGTTTCTAATTCAGCGTTCAACTCGCCCACTTCCGCTTGTAGAGTCTCAGTCATCATCTCCAGCGACTGCACTTTTTCACGGCAGTCTTCTTCCATTCTGGTTGTTAGAAGAAGCGGAAAGAGGACTGCAAAAAAATTGAGCTTTCTTCTGGACCAGGAGAGTATTAAGATCACAACCCAAGATCATGCACCGGCCTGGGTCCTTACTTTTGTTGGTTTGTTTTGATGCGCTCCGGGCGACGCGTACGATCCCACCGGATTTCTTTGGGCCCTGTGTGTGTTATGCTATGGAGTACTTACTTTTCTTTTCCACCATAACTCGATCGCTTTGCGATGCGCAGCCTCGGCACCGGTTATTTTTGTCTGCAAGAGAGTAACCTGGCCCAACAAATCTTGCCGCTTTTCGTCAAATGCCGCCTCGCGCTCCTTTTTTAAAGCTGCAAATCAAGTGCATTAATGTGAATCTAGGCCAAGGGGAAAAGACAAGTCATGTCACGTGGTCGTCCCGTGTTACAGATACAGGTGAAGCTGAACGGTCTAAGGATTGGAATTGATTACTTAGAAAAAGAAAACTAAGAAACCTACTCCTTACTAACCAGGTACTGCTACTGGACGCAACATATTTCAAAGGTAATTGTACATAGATTCAATATAAACATTTTGAACGTCAACATAACTCTTGAGAGTCCTCCTTTGCTCCCTTAGCCATCTCAATGTCACCCTCCAGTTGCCGAATCTTCTCAGCATAGTGGTCATCTTTCAATTTCAACTTCCGCAACCATGCTGTCTGTTCGTCTTTACCTTATTTGAGACGATGATAGTGGAGTAAAAAGAGAGAATTGCTGCGATATTCTATAGCAGTATAAAGGCTCTACTATGCATGTCTTTGTCCTCTTTGTCTATTGAAGCAACTAAGAAGCGACTATACCTAAATGGTATACCTCTCTCCTTGACTTTCCTCTTTCTCCAGACGCAGTAGCATAAGAGAAAACTCAGCCAAAAGCACCCAATGAAGGGCAGCATCCACCCGGCTGAATTGTGCTGAGTAAAATGCAAGTATGCTCCGAAGCCGTCGTCTCCGAAGGCTCCACCTGCCATCAGCACCAAAAACAGCAGGGGGAAAAAGACAAGCAGCAAAGCGATGTACCCTCGCTCCCATCGCGCCTCTTCTTCGGGTGAAGAGGGTGCCGGAAGAGGGATTTTGTCGAACATGATGAAATTTTGATGTTGTTGATGACCGACTTTATTTATCCGGATTTGATGAAGATGATCGTGGTGATCGGCGAGCAGCCAAGGTCTGGCATTCCTGTGCGAGGACTGATCTTTTCGGCTGACGACATTTTTTTCTGAAGTCTAATTCTGAAGAAAGTTGTGTTTTTACAAAAGGAAGTAGATATTCTTAATCGGTGATGAATCAAGGATACGATATTTTTTCACGACATTTTTTCTTGCCCTCCTCGGCCTCGAGTGTCTCCTTATCAAATCCTCCGATACCTACCGCAGCTATGCTTCGTTTTATTGGGCAGGACATTTTACCGAACATTAACTGCTGCTGCCTGTGAACTGTTCTGCTGCTGCCTTCTGTGCTTCTGCTGCTGCCTTTTAGCGTGAGAAAACTTAAACTTTTGTCCTTCTGAGACTGAGGCAACAAGCCGCCTTTTAGACTACTGTGCTAAAACAGAACACGGTGCCTATGCAGCTGTTCTATCACAGGCCGTAGCACCTGTTCTCCGCAGCAGCTGCGACGTAGAAATCATGCTTCAAAAATTTTTTTTCGTGCTCGTGCTCAACCAAATTGTCCTTCGTTCGTGATATGAAAAAGTGATACGTACTTGTTAATCCGTATTCAGGGTTTACCTTCATGACCGTGGCTGGAATTTTTTAACAGCATGGGGCGCTGTCACGATTGGCAATCATGCGTTCATCAGGGTGAGGGGGTGGTAATATATTATAGGTATTGTTACACCTGGATAACACATCAGTGACAGTTATGAGAGGAGTAGCAGAGATAATGTTCCTCATGCTGCTCATAATTCCTCATTTTTGCCCTACAAGATCTCGCCTACTTGTCCGATTACTTCTTCGCCTTTTTCGCGTCTGGCATAGGCACATCGAATTCCTTCGGTGGGGTGTCCGGCATTACACAAGGTATCCTTCGATAGAGGCACATATAGGCGATCTGAGTGTCGGCACGACCTCCTTGAAGGTCTAGATTGATACCCGTGATCTGCTTCCACTCGTAAGGGAGAACGTCTTCGTCATCGAAGAGAAGCTGTGGTTGAGAAAGAGTAGAGAAGTCTAGGAAATCGTTGCGTAAAAAGAGAGATTGGGATTGCTAGTCGTAGTTGTAAATGACGTACAACCCATTCTTGATCATCCTTGTAATCCTATTTTTCCTAGTTATCATCTCCAAAGTAAATGTAAAAAGAGTGGTGGTAAGTTGTAGTCGTGTAAGTAAGTAGTACGGTAAGTTGTATCTGCAAATGTACTAAAAAGAGTGGTAAGAACAAGAAGCAGTCGTGTAAGTAAGTAAGTAAGTAAGTAAGTAAGTAAGTAAGTAAGTAAGTAAGTAAGTAAGTAAGTAAGTAAGTAAGTAAGTAAGTAAGTAAGTAAGTACCCATTGATCATCCTTGTAATCTTTTCCGTCTGCGGCATGCGTCTTAACCCAACCGACGTAATGTCCGCCCTGTAGGGAGCGTCCTTTGTGGCTAACGACACCGCATAACTCGTATTGCCCAGTGTTGAAATCCTTCTTCGGAACTGTCGGATCCTCGACTTCCATTGGTTCTGTGTTGGAGGAAGAGAATTGAGCTTGAGGATAATGATAAAGTGGAAGATTCGATTTCGAAAGTCATTGCTACTTGGAGGAAAAGGAACCAATGCTGGCAATAACTTCTTTTCTGGGCGGGTTATTTCTATTAAGAGAGTAGAGGAGTGCTGTACCTGAAAGTACTAGTAGTACTAGTAGTACTAGGAGAGATAGAGATAGAACTAGAAGTGTTATTAGTACGTATTTCGCTTTCGTCCTTTCCAAAATCAGCTATCTTTTTTGCTTCTGCTTCCGTTTCTAATTCGCGCTTTTCCCGGAGTTTCAGTCTGCCCACTCCCAACTCCTTTTGTAGTTCTGGCGTGGCGTAATCATACACGTCCAATGACGCTGAAAAGGCGCATTTTCGGACCATTTTCACCGCTGAAGCTTCTGTGCCGCCAAGGGCACTCGCTTGCTTATAGCCAAACCGCGCGAATTGGACCCAGAGATACTGAGGCAAAGTCGCCATACAAGTACTCTTCTCGTACTGAGCTATTCGACCTGGGGAGTTGGAGTTGAAGGACCACGTGGGAAGGCCGTAAAACTCAAAATTGGCAAGAATTGAAAAAAAGGAAACTAATATGGCTGTTCTTGTAGCTCTAGTACTACGTACCTTGCTTGTGCAACATGTGCTGCGACGAACAACAACAAACAACACCAAACATCAAAATCAGTATTACCTAGACTCGGTGAGCTTTTCTCCAAGTGTTCCTTGAGCGAGTGTTTTATGCCCTCGTGCATGTGCGACACCGGTTCTGTGGTAGACCCCATATGACAGACGAAGAAACGGTAGCTTTCTTCTCTTTCATCCGGCACCTCGTCTTCCACTTCTAGACACTTATACTTGGACTTCATTTTGAACCCGAAGTATTTGTCCACTGCGTTTGTGCCGTCTTTTTGCGTGGCATTGGCAATAACGGAGAACATCTCACGGAGGCATTCTTCCGCATCCTGCTGTTGATACGATGGCGGATTGCCAGTAGTTGCGCCAAACTGCGGAAACCGCGTTCTAAGAGTCTGCACAAACTGGAAAGGCGTAACCGTATCCGTTGTGCTGTCCAGGGAGTCCAAAAAAACGCGGAGGGAAGGGATTAGAGGGGTAGTAGAAGGGGTACTACTAGAAAGGTGGGTAGATGAAGGGATTTTGTATTATTTGTTGACCATACAGTTCAAGTTTTTGTTCGGTAAGAACACTATGAAGTTGAAGTCCTTCCGAGTCTCTATATTCTCTTGGGTAGTCTGCATTTCATTGGAGATGAAAATGAATTCCCTTTGGGTCATAAATTTGTAAATCCCGCATCAGTGGCTGAACCACCTCCCATGCCCATCATTGCTGCAAAATCGTTCGCCTGTCCTCCATTTGACGTTGAGGAGCTTGCGCCACCACCACTAGTGGGGACTAACGCAGATCGAAACTCTGGACATGTCTTCAAAACTTGCACCACAGAGTTCATGTAACAAGTGTTCCCCAGGTTCTTCAAACCACAGGGGAGCACTTCCTGTGAAAGTTGTTGTTGTTTTGGAAGAGAATCCAGAATCTTCTGAGTAGATCTTGTTGTTGTTCTTGCCAAAAATAAAAATTACAACGACAGTCCTCTGAGGAACAATATCATCTTCAAAAGATGCTGCAATAGAAGATACCACTTTCTTCTCCTTTAAAATCTTTGCTCTCTCCTCAGCAGTTAAATCTTCCATGAAGACTGTCTTTTCTGCCGGTGCATGTACCTCTCCGCCTTCTGCTGTGCCGATCTGTGGTTGGTATGGGTTGTGTAGTGGGTCGGTAATATGCAGATGCAGATGTAGTTGATGTTGCACTATTTTTCTGTCGATGACTACAATTATCTCGATCACAATCCTCAAGCAGGAGTACCAACTGAATCTTCGCATTTGGCTTCAGCTTCTTGATTTTTTCGATCAAGTTGTCGCTTTCCTTCAGTAGGCCGCCAGCAAAGCCGAGAAATTTCATGCGATCGACTGGGACCTGGGATAGAATGTTGGACGAGAAGTAGTTGGAAGATTGTTTATTTGCGACTGGGACCTGGGATAGAATGTTGGACGAGAAGTAGTTGACACAAGATATTTAATTTCAGTGGAGGTATTGAAAGTGACAGAAAGTGGAGTCCTAGGAGTACATTGGTCATCGAGTAAACGAGCGACTTGAAGTCTTCGACAGAGAGGCCGTCCGCCACGTCCACCTCGAGCTCCTTTTTCCCCCATTTAATTGGCAGCTTCATGTTGACCATAATCTTCTAAGGAGGGTGTAAGAGTAAGAGTAAAAAGTCAGGCTAACACAATGTCTAAGACCAACTGAATGTCGCTAGGTCTAAGGATATCTTCAAGAGCAACTGCTTTGAGTCGTCACTAAAACTACCACGCACCTGCTCATGAAGAATGTTAATGTAGTTTGTCGTTTGTACATGATCTCCAACTAGTCTTGGTGTAGTTTCTTCGTAAAAGGTTGAGATTCTGCATCCTCAACATCTATCTCTCATTTTCGTTTTGGTGCACTAAATATTTGTTCATTTACCCGAATCATTTCCTCACGTCTATCGTTGGTGCTGCAGCTTCATTGTGATTGTGAACAGCGATCAAATCATATGTTGATGGTCATGTGCCACCACACAGCCACGGATGGTCATCGGGCGCATCAGTAGAGTTGGAGTTGTAGGTAGAAGTCCTTCGAATATTATAAGGGATCGATCATCGCGGGGATTCAGGTCGTGATATTTAGCTGTTTTTCTTCGTCTTGTGCATTTCCTGCTTATGATCAAGAAGATGAATATGAGCGCAATGATATACGGAAAATGGTCAAAAAGATGCTGGTCATCATTCTCATTCATGATTTTGTTCATTCGGTATGCTGTCGTGCCGGCGCACGATGTTTACGCCAAAATAATCAGCCGAGAAGCCTCCTCACTTCATTGGGTCAAGCATGATTCCCAGGGTAACTTTGTCGTGCCCCACTTCCCGCAGAAGGATTAGAAGTGCTTTTCGTGACCATAGTTCATACAGGTCTACCAAGCGTTCCTGTAGTACTTTTCTACTCAGTAGAAGAGTCGTGGAAAGGAATCTTCACACGAGGGATATCATTAACCAACTCCAACGTGGTAAGAGAGTTTAACACAGTGGTCACAGCAATTCACCAGCCATAAAATCAAGTCCCTTAAGCGTGCTCGTATTGGTTCCTCTTCCGTATGGTGGTGGTAGAAAAGCGCCATAAACTTCGTCTTCCAGTTTACGGTAGTGCAGGAATTGAATTCTTGCCACCTCTTGGCCTTCACAAAATTCACCGTCCAACTTCGGTTAGGCACGGATTCTTTCTGTTTTTAGTTGTATCTTCACGATGAGGGTTTGATGAAATATCATGCAAGTCATATCGAAGTCTTTGAGGTCGTGGAGGTAATTGATGTTGAACAAGTACAAGACTATGCCGTAGATAGAACAAGTAATTGAATTAGATGTTTACACAAAAGCTAAATACGGTAAGAATATTTGTTGCTACACCGCCCAACTTGCGTCCCGTCTGGAAGTCCCACAACCTTTTCAGAGAGGTCAAAGCGTCTTTGGCAGGATCTGGGTTCCACGATTCGAGATCCGCGAAAAGATACCGATCAACCCAGCTACAACGCAGCGTCTCATCCGATGTGTAGAGAGTGACGCCGCGAATGTACCTGAGATAAAAAAGTTCGTGTAGTAGGGTCATTTGTTCAACAACAAAATTTGTTGTAGGTGTGCGCCGTGTCGTGTCTCCGAAACGACCCGCCAATGATGTAGAAGTGTCAACTACATAGATATTCTCATTCTGATGTTTTTGTTCATTTACTGTTTACTCCATAAATACAAGGTCTTCATCTTGGACACCACTGGACTCTTCTTCGTCTTTCCAAAATAGTCAGTCTCATGGGCTTAACAATAGAATACGGCGTCCCTTCGATATCGAAATGATTGGAGAAGAAGTCTGGACATTGAGATGCCATTTTCGTATCGACGTCCCGCATTGACAGGTTTGCCCCAAAGTCTAAGAATCTTGCTATTTTTCGTAGCAAAACGGTCTTTAATTTCCTCTGATCGACGCGCACAGCAGCGCAGAAATCCTTGCAGACACACCGCATATTCAGCAAGCTGTAAACGTCCAAAAACTGGCATGCCATGTGGAAAATGTTGTCCCTGGATCAAGTTTGTGCGTGGGAGATGGAGAAATTGAACTCTCCTGTTCCTGTTGGCCATGAAAATGTGAGTGTGTGGAAGATGAAATTGAAGTTCTTTCATATTCGAAAAACTGAAATAACCGAGTAACTATTGAAAATAAGGGAGATACTGAAAGAAGAGGAATGTAGTCAAGCCTCTCTACAAAAAGTGAAATACTTGCTCTTATCAACATTCTCCTTCAAATGCTGCTGTAAATCCGTTTCCATGCGCCGATCGGCCTCCCAATCTCGTTTGGCGTGGTAGTCCCTATACATCTGATCAGTCGTGGGTGCAATTTTCCGCACTTTTGGAAGTCTGCTGGAAGCGGAATTTCCTGCATTAGGGTCCCTCTGAGACGACTGCGACAGCATTTCCCGAATACTTGTAGCTGGTTTCGCACCAGGCGCAGCTTTGCTCTTCATTAGAAGATGGGACTTCCGATTTTTCCGTCTAGGTTACTTTGACACTATGGAGATCACAAAAAGAAGTACATACAAGTACTAGTAGGTGTAGGACCTCCTCCTAGTGCGCGCTAGTAGGTGTAGGACCTAGTACTAGTAGGTGTAGGACCTCCTCCTAGTGCGCGCTAGTAGGTGTAGGACCTCGTACTAGTAGGTGTAGGACCTCCTCCTAGTGCGCGCTAGTAGGTGTAGGACCTCCTACTAGTAGGTGTAGGACCTCCTCCTAGTGCGCGCTAGTAGGTGTAGGACCTCGTACTAGTAGGTGTAGGACCTCCTCCTAGTGCGCGCTAGTAGGTGTAGGACCTCCTACTAGTAGGTGTAGGACCTCCTCCTAGTGCGCGCTAGTAGGTGTAGGACCTCCTACTAGTAGGTGTAGGACCTCCTCCTAGTGCGCGCTAGTAGGTGTAGGACCTCCTCCCAGTGCGCGCTAGTAGGTGTAGGACCTCCTACTAGCAGGTGTAGGACCTCCTCCTATTTCCCTAATAATTCACAGACAACTCAACTTAACTTCCCAGCTGCATTTGGAGCTTTACGTTTGTTGCTACTCTTTGCCTTCGCTTTCGGTGCTTTTGATGACGTGGCGGCGGCTTCACCTCCTACTTTCAATGTAGAAGATGTGGCTCCGCCAGCTGCTGGACCAGTCGCGGTGGAAGACGTTGCGGCTGCTGCTGCTCCATCTCCTCCCACTTCTGTTGAAGATGCTACTAGAGGACCAGAAGGTACTGGCACTTGCAGCGATGCGTTACTTGTAGTTTCCTTAATGGAGGGATTCGGGTCAAGGCAAACTGATGGATCCACGACTCGAGCTCCGTCTGCGACGAAAGCTGAACTCGTCGCGCCCTCAGGAGCTACACCCGGCGCACTGCCCCTCGACGACGCCGGCATTGTGAAAATTGGATTAAAAAAACCTTGTAGAAGTTGAAATTCTCAAAATATTAGGTCAGCATGGGATTTATCTTCAATCCTTTTTCTCGATTTTTCTGGATGCAAAATCATCCGAGTCCTATTCTTGAAGTGGTCGCGTCGATTTTTAACACAGAAGATCTTCTGAAAAGATAACTAGAAGATGCCCTGCAAAGGCTTTCACGCCGACTAGAGTTCTTCCAGAATCAGCCTCTTTCATGAAATACTTGATTCTTTATGGTGACCGTAGTACGGTCATACCTTGATGATAAAAACATAGATGAAAACGTGGTGGTCGTGTGTCTTCAATGAATGCATCCGTTTTCATTTTTTTTTCAATTTGCGTCTTCAATCATCTGGTTCATCTGCAAAAGAGTACTGTTCTCAAACATTATTTCGCAATCAAATAAGTACTTCGTACAGTTGTGCAGAGACTTTTCATCAACTGACTGTATGAGTCTTGGCGGATCACCCGCTCTGCGGGTTTGGGAAGGTGTTGCACCATGCGATCCAATAGGTCAGTCCTCGAGAACGCCGGTGCCAGCATTGTAATTATCACCGGAACAAGGAATTGCGCCCACAACAATGCAAGTTTTTCATAGTCGATCAAAGCCGCCGCCTCCTTTAGACCTTACTTTTATTCATCTTGGAAAGCATCTTTGACGCAGTTCCCTCTTGAAAAAGGGATCAAAGATGCCTCTTAAGATGAATAAAAGTAAGTCTTAACTCCTGCATCAACTTTTGTTCTTTGATTAGAGATAGAAGTAGCGACTAAACTCTGAAGTAGTACTTACCCGAAAGAAGATTTTCTGTGTTAGCGATCGAAGTAATGTGACGATGCTGGATGCTGTTCCTGGGTTGGTCAACTAGTAACCGTTCTGAGCAACTAGTAACGGTAACAGTAACAGTTGTAACTGTAAGTAGAAGCCTAGAATATTAGACTCCTGCATATGATGTAGCCGTAATCTATGGGTGAGCAATTTTGGCGCGTCCGTTCGAGTCGTCCAACTTTGGGAAAATTGAGCATCCCACGTCTCTAGGCCGCCCTGCCAAAGTCTAAGCTCTATTTAAAAGCGATGAAGACACCCAGACAAGAACTAGTTCCGTGGACTTCGTGGATCTGAACTTAGATCCGGATCATCTGGATGATAGACCACTGCAGTCGACAAAACTACAGACTCGGAGACAGATCTGGAAACATGAATGCGCGAGCGCGAATTGAGATCTATATTTCCTCGCGAGAAAATCGTTCACCTACAGGAGAAAACCGATACTGAAGGACCAGATTTTGTGGATCTGGATAAAAAAATAGTTGCTTTTCATCAGAAGATTGTACAACGTAGTTTCTGATTTAGTGGCTCGACGTCGACCACGACAACTATATAATCTGTTCCCTGATCCTTGTTTCTTGTTCTTGTCCTGATCATCATCATACTACAGGTCGTTTTTTTTGGTCGTGGGGTGGTGCTAACAAAAAAGTTCTCTTGTTCAATATTACATTTACAACAGTTGCTATTTATCATCGGCGCTTGTTTTGATTTAGAATTACTAGTCCTTTTCTAGTATACCCTTACCCATACGTCATCGTAACCCTTTAGTGGCCATACAACATCGTGCGAATGCGAAAGTGTTGCTCATCTAATTGATAAAAAGACAGAAAACAAAGTTCGTAAATGCTCACATTTGAAAGTTAAACAATTTTGACCTGAAGATCCCAGCTCTTGTTCGTGGCTTATAACCTCAACAATCGAAAAATTTGACAATTAAATAATATTGGCTGGCTTCAAAGGCCTAGCGACAGGGCCAGAGACTTGTATTATTTAAGGACACGAATAGTACAAATTTTGTTTTCATCTTCTACTTATTTAGCTACGAAAAACTGCGTTCTTTACATCACACAACAAAAATAGCGTTTATTTGTTCTGCGTCATTAGTGAAAAATGACTATTTTCTCTTCCGACTACAAATTTATCTTGACAATTCATTGTTGAAAACTAGTTCCAGCACAAGCTCAGTTAATTGATTGCAAATAGGACATAGCGGCCATAGCGTAATCAACAGCATGCTTCTAATTATTTGCGAGATCATGATTTCCTACTTGGATTTAAGGATGCCTTACAGATGCGACCATCTTCAACCTATAACGTACCATTCTCCTCGTCCTCAATCCCCTGATAATTCTCTTATCGCAGCACTTCCGCATCTGGTTCCTCGTGTTCGTGGATAGCGATTTCTTCGAGGTCGACGTCGGTCCCACGAGCCCCCTCATCCGGGACGTCCTCATCGTGGTAGCTCATGTTGTTGCCACCTGGACCACCAACGGTCGTTCTGAAATTAGTCATGGACGTGGAAGTCTAAGGATCAATGCAATTTTTTCCCCTAACATTCTAATCAAATCTCGATAATCAGACCCAGAAGTGAGTGAAGTTCATCACGATCATCGCATAATATTTGCCGTGGGACTTGCTCCACTGCCTACCGTTCCACCAATGTTGCTTGGTGGCGCCGTCGATGTCGTTGACATACCACCAAGGTTGTGGATGATGCGTTAGAGGTCGAACGTATCTACTACCATCATTCCAGCACATCAACTACATTATCAACATCAAATACAAAAGTACTAGTCCTACAACCGCTACCCTTGCCCAAAGGCTCACGCTCATACCCATCTAATTCTAAAATGACAACTCTTATACTAGAATAAATAAAATGACATATACTAGAATACCCATCTAATAAAATGACATATACTTTTTCAACATAACTCTTACTTCCCGCGCCGGCCTTCAAGTGCGCAAATTTGCCACTGTCTACCATCTTGTTATAAGCTTCGTACAACAGCGCAAACTGATCCCAGTTGATGTATAACTCCTCCACAATCGTCGATGGATCCTCGATCCCCTTTTCGAAAAAGTCAAGACCGTCTGGGATTAGAAGGAGACGGTCTCTACACGTAGAGTAACGCTAAGAACAACAACAAGGGAGTTTTGGCACTTTGTATACATAGCTTTTTTTGATACAACTCCGTGTTTATTGAAATTTATGATCGAGTCACTTGTTGAGCGAGAGCGTCAAGATTCTTGACGCTCTCGCTACCTTAGACGTTGAGGTCGTTCTTAGAACGACCTCAACGTCTTTCGCAATCAGAAAAAACAATTACAATAAGATGGTCCCAACATCAACAACATAAGAGAAGCATGTTCAATTCAGACGTGGACAGCTGAGGGCTGGCGCCAGCTTCCTGCAAAGCTCCTTGGATTCGACGGTAGAATAAAATGCGTCCACGCTCGTCGACCTGAATGTAATTCTTCCATTCAACATCTTCACCTCCGTATTGACAGAAACAGAATCACAATGTTGACCTAACTGCCGTAACTGTAACAGCTGGAGCTGGTGTGAAACAAATTTAATTAGTACCCTAACTGTAACTGTAATACCTACAGTAACTGTAACACTAACAGCTGTGAAACAAACTAGTACCTGGTACTCGCATGATCATGGTGCGTCGAAAACGCTGCACTAAACAACGTGAATAAGTACCATTGTCGCATGCGTCGAAAATGCGCGATATAGTTCCGGACTCTCAGCATAGAATCGCAATTCCCGAGCCACTAGAAGTAGGGAATTGATGACCAGTAGCGTTCCGAGAAGGATGGACAGTGTTGCAAAAGCAGTCTCCGAAGTTGTCGAGAAGAGGTGTAATGCCATCCAGAAGTAAAAGGGACAGGAATTAGAAGAAGCAGTAGTTCTAGTTGCTGTTGATAAAGTGGTAATTTTAGTTTGTCATGATTGAATCGAAAAATTGAGTAAGTAACCTGGGGGGCCTTGGAATTGGCAGGCTGGTAGAATATCAAGAATGAAGGTAAAAAGACATCAAGTTAGTGCTTTAACATGCCACAGTTGTGCCGGCTTGCGGTAGAAAATGAAGCAAAGCCACATACTAAAGCCGAGACGGAGGCACGCATCAACAAATTTCTGCGGACCGGTTCCACCCTTGGGCGAGGCCTGAACAGTGGTTTGGGCGGAAGTTATTTTAGTACTTGGTGAGCAGATCTTCAGAATCTTTCTTGCTCAACCATTGTATAGAAGACCTGAATCTTCAGAAGACCATGGTACTGAATCGAACAACCAACGCTAGCAGTAAGGTTCAGAAGATCATGGTACTGAATCGAACAACCAACGCTAGCACCAGTAAGGAATTAAGTACTCGAAAAACTGAAATAAGCGAGTAACTGATCAGAATAACCGAGATACTGATGAGAGGGAAAGGTAGCCCTGACGTTAAGCTACCTCCCTTATTTCAGTCAGTAACTCGGTTATTTTGAGTTTTCGAACCCCATAAATCGAACAACCAACGCTAGCACCAGTAAGGAGTTATAAGTACCTAAAAGTTGTAAAGATAAAGTACCTCCCTATTGAGAGTGAAGAAGAGGTGAAAGATTGCGCACACGCACGTTGAGTAGGTGAGGTAGACGGACAAGATTAGAGGTGCCCTCTATTCATCTTGAAGCGCATCTTTCTTTGACCTCTTTTCTTTCCCCCTGAAACCGTTTGAAAGATGCTTCTTAAGATGAATTTGGGGAAGCCTTAACAAGTCGTGGTGTAGAATGCGATAAAATCGCTCGCCACGTCGCTCCACCTGAAATTCTCGAATTTTCTCCACGATCCGACTTTTGAAGCCGTTTGAGATGATGCTGCCACTCCGGGAGCTCTTCATAGACGGCTTTTCGGTCAGAGTGTCGAAGCCAGCGGGAGGAATGAAGAAGGACGAGGGGATGGGGAGAAGGACTAGGAGATAATTCAACCAGTTTTGTAGGTATATTTCTCGGCTTTTTGAATCTACGTGGAGCTGAAAGAACTACCTGAAAATAAAATTCGAATTAGTTTTCGTAACAACTGGTTGTAGGTCTATCAAGAAAGTCGTGGTCTATTGAAGATGCATGTCTCAACTACAACTTAGTGTTAACTGACGAGATAAACTGTCTTCATAAGAGCTCCGCCATTTTCTGTTGTGGTGCTGGCGCCGGAAGGCCTATAAAGCTCCAACCTCGGATCGTTTGCCGAAAGGGATGGCATTTTCTTATTTTTCGTTGCTCTAGATGAGATTAAGGAGACCGTAGTCGTGCTATCCGGATAAATAGTTCTGCTTTACTATTGTAGCTTCATTTCAACTAGTATTTTTGGGAGCGATACCGAAAGGTGATGTCAGAAAAACAAATATTTCTGAATTCGCCATCCACCACACACTTATCTCTCAATCTCAAAACTAAGTAAGTACTCAAAATGCATGAAGCTAACCCCCACAGAGACACTCCCAGAAAATGCGCATTTTGTTTGACGAATAGAAACGAGCACTTAACAACTTTTGGAATCCAGGTTTCATTCACTCTACCGCAGCCTAATCTGATCACCGTTTTTCGGTAGTACACTATGACTTTTTTCCGATGTCTCTCAAATATTTTTCGTCCTTGCTTTGCCGACCGCTCTTGTCGATGTTGAAACATCTAAGAACATGCGACTTGGGACATCAAACCAGTTTTTGACTTTCTGTGCTGTATCACTTCTTTCCTTTTTTTCAGTCTCATTACCAAGTACTAAGTTCTTGGAACATCGTTAATAAGGGTCTTTGCACCTGCACATGCAGTTCGAAGTAGAAGTAGGAATGAGCTACATAGTCATCAACAGGTAATGTTGAGGTACATCTATTCAAAAGCGCCACGCCGAATAAGCGCTGTAGTATTGAAAAAGTGTTTTTTAAAAAACCAGAAAACTACAACAAGGGAAAGGGTAAGAGCATATCTGCTTAGTTGATCTTCACCCTTTCACGCACCAATTCTCCCTCTATGGGGTCTAAACTCGCTAAGCGCCATGCGTGAACTGCTTCCCTTGCTTGTCCCGGACGACGCACCCGCCCAATCGCTTGTGCTTCCACTGCGCGCACCTCTGAAAGGGACGGCAGCGAAAGCGGATGCACGAAAACGACATCATTCGCCAAAAGCAAGCGCAAACCTGAAGCAGTGAAAGAGCCAGGCCCGAAAATCTCTGGGATATGGAGAACACTAAGCAACTCGCAAAATATCCCAGGTAGGTGGTTGCTATTCTGTCACCTGACTCAAAGGCCGGCCCTGCACACGAAAGTTGGCCAGTTTATGACTTCAGTGGTGTCATTGTAGGAGGTCACTGAGTGGAGCCGCGCCATATTTGGGCACGCTCCTACTTTCTCAAGTCTCTCCACTTTGTTACTCTTATCCCTTTCGGCTCTCGTTCTCGTTATGGCGAACGGAGTACTTTGCTCAGCCGGACAGAGATGACTGACTTCCCCTTGTCGTCATGCGTCCCCTCCTACTCTGTTCGGCCATGAGAACGTTGGAAAATATTTAATTATAGACTGGTTACCTCTTATTTTGTAGTACTGCTTTATTTGAAAACTTGACTTTTATTACACGGGAAATTTATGAATTTGCTCGACTTACTTGTTTGTTTCGCTCATGGAAAACTTTGACTTAATTATTGCAGGACGGCCGTATTTACTTGCTTGGTTGTTCATTTATTTCGTAACTCAATACTTTTCTTACTCGGTGAAACAGTCAATGCTTTCCTTAATTATTTCAGTCTTTCAACCTTTTTCACTTTTCTACTACTCAGCAGGTGAGTAGTTTGAGTTTCTTGCTTTAATTAATTACTTCGGTGCACTTCCACTCTGTGTTAATTCCTCATCTTGTGAAACCGCTTAGATCGCGCTGCTCGTTTCGTACGCGGCTACCATTACCACTAGCGCTATCCCTTGCCGCTTCTCCTGTTTTTCCCTTTTTGCTTTCGGCTTATTCAGCTGCATTAATGGCGTCAACCTGGAGAAGTTTTAAGTTAACTGTAACGGCCCACGCCTAAACTCAACACCGCGACAGATCTCACTTAAGGCGTTCCTTCGATTCTTAGCAGATTCAAGAGGGAGGGTTTACACTTCTCCCGTATTGGTCAGCTCTTTGATGTACGCGCTACATATAGCAATACGCTTCAGGCGAGCAACTGATGGAGCAACTAATAGCTGCTCCATCATGTTTGTTATTCTTATCGTCGCTAACGTATACGCTATTTCCTTTTGAGAGCGAAGTATTAATGCTCAGTGGCCCTTTTTCGCATTATTTCATCTTTGCCCAATGTTGCAATTATTTTTCATAGAAGTACACAAAGAAAATAGCAATAGCGGAAGTTTGTTGAATCATAAAACAAGTGGATCTAGTTATGTCTTTCCGAAAGAGCAGGAAATTCGTCCTTCTTACTCGATTTGTGCGATACAATCTTTCACATCAATAACAAGAAGTGCTAGTGCTTGCCCGCCGTTTCAAGATCCTCCAACTCCATACATAAAAGATATAAACAACATCCATGGATACAACGCATGCGTATCTTCATATGGGAATTTTTTCAAAACTACTTACGCATCTTCAACGTCATTCATCAGCTAAGCTTCCATTTACGACGAAGAAAAACCATAAACAAGCAAAATAAACCATACCCGTCTCCATTTTTTAAAAACGTTATCATCTAGTAGACGTCAGCGTCACACTCAGTTGTAGTACAATTCGTTCTGATACTACTAGATATCGATACTCATTCGCCGTTTTCCTGCCCTTTTCAGCAGCAACCTTTGCTGCCCTTGTTGGGTTGCGCACCCGCTCCTTGTACCGGAGCAGCCGACGCATCCGCTGCATTCGACGTCCCCTGTTGAGGCGCCGACGGTACAGGACTCACGGCCGCCGGCGATCCTGGACGCGCAGGGGGTTGGCCCGAAGAATCCGTCGCAGGCGAACCAGGGGAATCCACTGGAGCCGAACCGGAAGATCCCGTTGTAACCGGTGCCGGAGAGCCAGTAAGTACAGGAGTATGCGTTGGGGATCGGCGGCGAACGAACGATCCACCTGGACGCGTAGAAGCCGTCGCAGGCGAATCAGGGGGACGCACTGGAGCCGAACCGGAAGAACCCGTTGTTGTAACCGGTGCCGGAGAGCCAGTAAGTACAGGAGTACGTCCTGGACCCGTAGCGGGTTGGACCGAAGAATCCGTCGCAGGCGGAGCCACTGACTGCCATAGCGAAGGTCGATCATCCTCGTCTGGCTCGTGGATGCAGCACTCTCTTCGCAAAACCTGACGGAACGCAGCCCCTAACTCTGTCATCTCGTCTGGTGCTTTCTCGCTTCTACTAGCTATAAGGGCTGATTTCGCGTCTTGGACACTCTTCTGCTTAACTTCCCGCGTCGGCTCAAATTTGCGCAGATAAGCCCCGCAGAATCTGTCCTGACGCAACTCCGACGAGCGAAGACGGCCACGGTCAGTGTGGGGCCAGTCCTCTTCACGTTTTGTTAACAAGCCCAGCTTGAAGAAGTTGGATTTCGTTTTAGCCGTTGAATCTGGACCACCGTCCTCGCCTGCCGCTGCCTTCTCCATCGCTTCGTCCCAGACTTCCTGACAAGTTCTTTCCATGGCCTTCGCAGAAGCCTTCTGCATATATTGCAGCTTGACACCGTACCCGGCGCCAACGAAGGCACTCGCAACCACGAGTTGCAGAAACTTTTTTGAAAGTGGACGAGCCATCTTGCTTGGTTGAGACACTAACTGTGTTGATGTAAAAAGATTCGCCAAACTTCTGAACCTCCTACAAGAAGGAAGTGCCAACGCTTACACACATAAAAATTCGAGCTTCGTCGAATCTTATATTATATCCAAACTTAGTTACAATTCTTGTATATGAGTATGTTGATGTTCCTTATCCTTCCCTGCGAAACCGAACACGTAATAAAACCTAATTTCTTTTTACTGTTGTGTAATTCAAAATAATAGAAGATATCTTCTACTTGTAGTTGTGCCGAGAACTAGGCAAACGCGGTTAAGATCCAGATCCTCTTCTACAGTGTAAAACTTGGGGATTCAAAGCCTCTTTTCTCTGTGTAAAGAATTATGGACGGGGTAAGTAAAACATTTTACCGGGGTCCAGATGAATTAGCTCAGACTCAGACGGGCGGGGTAAGTAAAACATTTTATCCAGTTCCAGATGAATTAGATCAACAGACTCAGTAGACAGAATCTTCTTCAAGTTCAAGGTCGCTCGAATGATAAAACAGAACTAGCTTCTCTCAGAGTCAAACAGAAGTAGGTCGTCCCTCAAATGATCACACGGACTATTTTTTAGGGCTCTCAAAAATGAGGTCGTCTCTCTGGCGAGTACGGCACTCAGGAGAGACAGACGGCAAGCATGTGCTCAGTAGAGCTCCCGAAAACGCGTGATGAAGCACTCTCCTGTGGCATGCGCCAACCAACTAAATGCCACGGCTTCATCTTGTGACAAGATGAAGACGTGGCATTTGCTAAGATATCTTCAGCAAGGCGACCGCAAGAACCAAATTAAATATTCGTGTTCGTCCGCATTGAAAAACAAAAATATAGCCCCAAAGAGACACTCCTAAACAAAACTTGCTTTGTTTTGTACTTTGACGAATACAGACCAGCCCTCAACAGCTTTTGATGCTTCATTCACTCTACCGCGATCTACTTGCTGTAAATTTTTGGTACACTTTCATTTTTTTTTGACCTCTCTCAAATATTTTCGCCCTTCACCTGATGGCGGTCGCTCTTGACGAAACACCAGTGATGAAGATGATTGAAGAAGAAGAACAGGTGTGAGCAATAACAAGTTGCACCAGCGCCCTATTCTGAGTTTCTATGCTGTATCACATCTTTTTCAGCCTCATTACCAAGAACTAAGTTCTTGAAACTGATCTTCGCTAAGGGTCTCTTGTGCAGCTGCACCTAGAAGATCCTCGAAGTAGGAATGAGCTACATAGTCATCAACAGGTAATGCTGAGGTGCATCTATTCAAAAGCGCCACGCCGAATAAGCGCTGTAGTATTGAAAAAGTGTTTTTTAAAAAACCAGAAAACTACAACAAGGGAAAGGGTAAGAGCATATCTGCTTAGCTGATCTTCACCCTTTCACGCACCAAATCTTCCTCTATGGTGTCTAAGGTCGCTAAGCGCCATACGTGAACTGCTTCTCTTGCTTGTCCCGGACGACGCACCCGCCCAATCGCTTGTGCTTCCACTGCGCGCACTTCGGAGAGTGAAGGCAACGAGAGCGGATGCACGAACACGACATGGTTCGCTAGAAGCAAGTTCAGACCTGAAGCAGCGATCTCTAAGGATAGAATCAACACGTCTGCACTACGTTTTCCAGGCTCTACGTCGGCGAATTGTCGTAGAATACGTGCTTTACGATTCACGCCGCCCCCAAAGGCAACACTGTGGATTCCTGGAACACGTTTGGTTGTAGAAGAAGTAGAGGAGGTTGCCGCTGTACAAGGTTTGTTTACAACGTTTGCATGATTTGCTGATCCACCCCCAGTACTTCTTGCAGAAGCAGACGTAGTTGTGCTACCGGTGCTGAGACAACGCAGAGCTAACGCGATTTTTCGCTTCAACGACTCCCACTGAGAATAGACCAAGATTTTTGCTTCAGGATCCTCTGTTTTGATTTTCACCAAAAGTTCAGCCAGCTTCTCCATTTTACTTCCGTGTTGTTGTGCAATGTTCGCAGCAGCCGGAGGCAACTTCGCCAAAGGTCGTGGAGGCCCGAAACGAGCGGTGGATGAGGCATTAGGCTTAGGCATGTTACCTGATGCTGCTGATGGTCCTCCTGAACTCACGACATTGATCTTTGTTCCTCCGTTCCATGTTGTAGTTTCTTGCTGCTCTACGACAACAGTACATGAGGTTAGATCATCATCGGCATCTAGCTGGGATAGCAAGTCTCTCGGATTTCCACGAGCGTGTAACTGGTGTTGAGATTGATGGCCCCCCCGCACATTTCTCAATCCTCGATCTACAAACTCCTTATCCCCCGTACCCAGCAGAGTCGATGACGAAGCACCTCCGTTGTTGCATTCGTTTGGCATCAATTTCTGTTTTTTGGCGCGATGCTGATGCTCGTCCTGTTCATTGCCGTCACCTTGTTCTAGATCGACTTCCGATTTCATCTTCGCCGACAGGAAATTCTCACCTGCCTCAATGGCCGCTCTCATTTCATCCCTGCGACTTTTCAAAGCAGCTGTCCCGCTAAACTTCCGCTCGTTTTCGCTCAAAAACATTCGAGCCCGCAAACGGTTCCCCGCTTTGTGTTCCTGTCTTGCGCCTGCGCTTTCCACCAGCCCCTGTAGCAAGCGTTCGCGCGCCAAAAACTGGTACGAAAACCGCTGTCTCCCAGCATTGCCGTAGATCGAAATCCTCTTATGATCCATCAAAATCTGTGCACGTTCCCGCTCATTCTCAGCTAAGACACTGCCAGGGAATAGACCTCCGTGGTCCGCACTTGTTCTCTGCGTTAACTGGTCAACCTCGTCTCGCAAGGACAAGATATCCTGCTCATTGAGTGGGTGTCGACAAATTGCGCACTTCTGGTTTTGCTCGACCATTTGGCTCAGACACACCATACAAAAGACGTGGGCGCAAGGCGTGATGCCCATTTCGTCCAGGCTCAGGTCACTTTCTGCACAAATCGCGCAGTAGTTTCTCTCAGCTGCTCCTGAGCTTGGAGGACTCCTCTTCATTGGTGAGGCATTGATCTTCGTCGGACTGGGAGTTCTCGTCGGAGGTTTTGTCGGAGGTTTCTTGTTGGGACTAGTTGTGGCTTTTTTCCTACCCATCTTGGAGGACTTCTGCTCTACTGCTTGACCGCTATTAAGTTGAAGCTTTCCTTCAACGGCAGTAGCAACTGCACCTGTTCTTGGAAGTTGGCTGCGCACAGCATCAGAGATTGCCGGATATTCGTCTGGACTCAGGTCTACTACTTGATCCTTGACGTTGGCATCACTAGAATCGATCTCCATCCCAGTGACAACTCCCTGACGTTGATCAGGAGATTGATACCTGAGAGGAGGAAAGACAGGAGGACGTTGTCGCTCATCTTCATCTTCGCAAACTTGCATGTTGTCCATGTAGTCTTCCTCTTCTAGGAAATCTTCGTGTTCTTGTAGTTCTAGTACTTCTTGTTCACCTTCTCCTTCATTGTTCGCTTCTCCTTGTTCTTGATTTATCATAGTGGAGTCGCCAACCTGCTCTCCTTCATCATCCTCGCTTTTCACTGCATACACGTCCAAAGTGTTTCGGAAAAAGCTGTAGTGTCGATAAGCAGCAAGAGCAGAGTCTAATGCATCTTTGATCTGCTCTCCTAGCTGTCTTTCGTGTTTCCGGTATTCCTCTTGTTTTCGACGTTGTGACAGCGTCTCCTGCGTCTCTAAAAGGTCTAGTCTGGCCTTTTCCGTCGCTGTGTTCTTGCGGAATCCAGCAGCAAACACGTGACGCGTAGACCAGGTCACAAAATCTGCCTCCCAGCGTCTCAGGATATAGCGCAGCATGGACTTGATACTTCGGCAAGGATCCTCCTGTCGTTTTTTGGGTGAGGTTTTTTTTCTCGTGTTCATCTTCCGGCTCCGCCTATCATCTTGAGATGGAGACGCTGTAGTTGTAGTATTGGTGGTAGCTGCTCCTGCCCTCGTGGTCGTCGGGAGAAGCCTGAGTTTGCTGCTGTTTGATGGGCTTTCATCCTCATCGTCGACTTCTCCTCCTGAACTCTCCACATCCGAGCCTACACCCTCATCGCGAGCTCTCTGCTGCAGTTGGTGTAGCTGCACTAGGGCGACTTCCGGCAACAGACATAGGCGAGCAGTAGACTTCAGGTTAGCGAATTGGGCCAATGCTTCTAGGGCGGCCTCTGCTTCCGCTGTCCGTGCTGGTTTTTCTATCTCCAGACCCATGCCGTTGGCGATGAAGGGCTCTTTACTTTTCTTCGTAAGCGCACTGTATGCACCAAAGGGCAATAATGCACTTCCAGTCGTCGCTCTCCACGTAGAAGTCGCACTTTTCTTGAAAACATCCAAAAAGTCTCGTTCTCCGCGAACAAATCCTCCTCCTGCAGCACTAGCTGAAGAGTTAGAAGCAGATGCAGATGCCCCTCCAGCAGTTGTGCTATTGTTTTTCGACTCACTCGAAGACGAAGAAGACGTTTCTCCAAAAACTACACCAGCTTTTCCTGTCGGACCTACTGAAGATGCAGCAGCTGCTTCCCGCCCAATAAATCGTCCACGACTCGTAGAAGTTCCTCGATTTTTACTGTTATTCACCTCAAATATCTCCTCGTCGGATGATAACAGGTCCTTTCTCCCTGCACTAACGATCTTCGCACCAAAAACCCGCACGAAGGTCTCCACTTGCAACAGCGCGCACAAGCAAGATTCTAGTGGTCTCTCGACGGCGGACCGCTTAGCTTCCAGGACTCGAGCACACTCTCCGGACACCCCCTCACCGGTGAAGTGAGAGCAAACCCTGAGAAGCTCGCGACGACGGTCTAGTTCGACTTGGGGGAGGCGCTGAGGAAGAGGAAGTTTCATGAAAACCTTATCAATATTATCTCGCTTCCTTGCAGCACTGAAGAGCTGTCCTTGTCCTTCTGCATCATCATCTGCACTACTTCCTCGTTTTGTTAGTGTTATTGCATTCTTTATTTCGTGATCAATATGTTGTTGAAGATCTTCGCCTCCATTAGAGCTCTCCCCTATTCATCCCTGTGGAAATCCCTCAAGCATATGCGTCAGTATCTCCTGCGGAAATCCCTCAGTAACTCAAAAAAAAAAAGGGGCGCATATGTTTGAGGGATGTCTGCAGGGATGGATTCGGGGAAGCCTTAACTCCAGGTCCAGATGACGATGAAGGCAGTGTCAATCTCCTACCTGCTTTCGGACTCGGCAGCTCAATCTTACTAGAATAGTCCAGAAAATTGTGCAAGTTCGAGGAGACAGTGGCAGCGGCCGGCGAAGAGTGCAGTTTGTGAAGGTAGAGTGCTCTCTCTTGCGGCAGTTGCGTGACGAAGACCAGGTGTTGCACTACTGCGACGTCCTCCACGTCAAAGCGCTCACGCCAAAAGAAGGTCTTCAAAAATTTTTCAACGTTCCTCTGTACCGCAATAGATCGGTCCAACGGATGTCGTGCCAGAGCTTGCCACCTTTGTCGAGCAAAAGCTCCTGGAAGAGCTATTTGGCGTGGCTGTGCCACTCTGCGGAAGGATTCGTGCTCGGTGCCCTTCTTTCTTGTTCGAGGTGACACTGAATTTTGATGCTGGTGGTCCATCAAGAGCTGCGGAGGAAGCAAAGGCGAAATCGGACTTCTTCTAGGAGACAAGCTGTTCCTAAAAGTGGTACGGTTGTTGTTGTGGATGTCTGGAGGTCGAACACCATTAGACCTTCCAGCTTCAGTTCCGTTCTCATCACCAAGAAGTCTCCCGCCAGCTGCAGAGGAGGAGGACGTCGCCCCTCCTGCTCTCTTGATCAACGCAGCTGTACTAGAAGATGAAGCAATCAATGAAGATGACGCTGGAGGTGGGTTTTTTCGATCTCCATCGATTGCGTCCAGATCAACAGTCACTCCATCATCAAACTGAACGACTCGAGGTCCAGTCTTGGAAGTGCTGTCGTTGTTGTCCACATCTGGAAGATCAGGGGACACAGATATACCCCTTGACTGTGCCCAAGACAACAGGCCTGCGTCTTGTTCGCCATGTAGCTGCGCCATCCTGGCCTGACGTTGCATCAAAACTCTCTCTTTTCGTGTCAAACGTCTTCTTGAGCGCACTCCACCCACTGGGGAGTAGAGCGAGCCACCTGGTGAACCGCCTGGCGAGGACCCCAAGTGTGGTGGGGATGATCCAACAGACCCTCGCTGATGATCAACAAGAAGTTGCTTTCCACTTGGTGCTGAAACAAAACCACTTACCACACTCGCGAATGCTGTTGTCTCGCTTACCTCGAACTGAGCTGGAAAAATCGACGTCCCTGAGGCAGTCGCAGCCATCTTCATCCCTGCATTATTTCCATTCGGCGAACCTAAGTTAGTGCCACCGTACAAGTCGTAAGACGCCTCTTGAGTCTGAAGGTGTTCTTCATCTGAAGACGAGGAGCCGGAACTACTTGTAAATCCTCTAGCCTTCGGATTGTGGACGCGACCCTCGAGCCGTGCCAAGTCGTATTCGAAATCTGAGTACTTCATTCGTTCGGGTAGCAAGACCCGTGGCGTTCCAATACTTGTTCCTCCATTTCTTAGAGTCTGCTAGATTGCATCTCGGCCCCCTCATCTTGAGTCCTTTTACCTTGTATTGCACGAGGAGAATAGGTACAACTACAAGGGACCAGGGGACCAAGATGCCGAGAATGATGGAAAAAGCTGACCATAAATTTCCATCCGGCGAGGAACTCGGGTTCATCTTATCGCGATGGCCGTGGCGTCGCCTGGGGGTGCGGAGTGCTGACAGTGAGGGCACACGGAGATGCTGTTCTGGGGACGGCGAGCGGGAAGAGGACACAAGTCCACGACCACGAAGACCAACATTCATTTTCAAAACTTTTTTCACTTTCTGATGAATCTCCTGAGAAGTTCTTGTTGCCTCATTGAAGATCTTGGTGCTGCGAGCTGCTAATGTCCTCGTCCTCCCTTCAGCATTCTTGTCGTTCTGCAGTGGCGGCGACTCATGCCGACTCCCAGGTCGACTCGGCGACTTCTCCTCTACCGAACCATAGAGCCAGCGGCACCCGTTGTTCAGATTCCGGTACTGCAGAGCAGTCAGCCTTCGTCTGTTGTGTTCGTCGTTGTCTAGGACAGCAAAGAGGAACTCGCTGCTCAAAGGCTGATCCTCCCTAAACATGTGGCGCCTGGCTTCGCGCCTGCTGGGCGTACTGTAGGTCGACAGAGCAGCTCCTGGAGCTCCTCCTCCAGGTGAAGACTTTTCTGGAAGCGCTAGATCCTCTACGTTAGAAGAAGGCACGACACAACCATTCTTCTGCTGCTCCTGAGGCGAAACAGATCCTGATGAAGGCGCGCCTATGTTCTTGATACTCCCTTGTTGTGATCCACGACGTTCCCCTTCGTTCGTCGCAAAATATCGGAACATATCGGGCGTGTGATTCGCCGTACCACATCGCAGACAGATGATTTCGCCGTCGAAGACACGCGGCTCTCGTTGCTGCAGCAGCAATTTAGCACCACAGCAGTTACAAAACCAGTGCGCGCAAGGCTTCAGACGCTGTGTGAATGGATCAAAATTGTACTCATCTTGCGAAGAGTACGTTTGCAATTCGCTCCCAAACGATGAGGATGTTGACGGATTTACCATGGTATTTCGTGGTTGTACTGTTGTAGTAGAAGCCCTGGATGAAGCGAATGGTACTCGTGAAGCTGAATGTCCTGTTGTAGTAGAAGCCCTGGATGAAGCGCATGGTACAACTCGTGAAGCTGAAGAAACAGCCTCTATCGTTGCACCAGCGGAGGAGCCCGACAGTCCCTCATAATTGGTAATTGCCGATCCATTAGCAGGATGAATGCTTACCGATAATATTCCATTTCTATTGGCATTTTCATTGTTTCCACCCGTTGTTTCATCTGCAACTACTACTTGTTGCCCATCAGTTCGCGCAGCTGTCTCGAGCACGACGGCATCGTCTTTGTAACAGGCACAGCCTTCTGCGTACTGGTGAATGTGGTCTAAGAATCCCATCTCCTCTTTGGAGACACCTAAGAGATCAACGGAAAGTAAGTTGGCCATAGCCGCTATCGATCGCACAGATTGCACTGGAGGTGACCCCGTCATTCCCCATTTAAAATAGCTCTTGAAACGCAGCAACACGTCCACGTCACGAGGATCCAGGTCTAGAATTTCATGAAATTCGTCAAAAACTACACGCTTCCACAAAAACATCTCGAGGAGAGGAAAGTGTAAGTCCTGTGGTCTGCGCAGGTGTAGCGCATGGCCGCATTCTTGATCGGTACCTAGGAGACGCACACGTCGGAACTCTCGGACGCAAAGGGTGAAGTACTCTGTATCCTGCAAACTGTCTTCGCGAGGCTCCTTAAACGTCCACTCTGTTTCCGCTACTGTGGTAGCTCCTCCTGTCGCTAGTGGGATTGACGCTGATGTAGTTGGCGCTGGGCTTGGACTATTGCTATACTGACTTTGCACTTGATGGCCTCGACTTGTACCACTTGGTTGTTGATCTTGCTGTGAAGATTTCAGCTCTTGCTTCGTCGAGCTGGTGTAGTTTTTACGAACTTCTACTTTCGTCTTGTTCTTAGTAGAGCTTCTACCATTTTTAATACTCATGGACTTTTTGCTTGCTGCTTTACTAGCGGCTTTTTTGGCCTTGGATTCCGCTGTAGTTGGGGATGATGCAGCCTTAGGATTTTTTGCTCCTCGTCCTCCTTTTCTTTGCGCTCTTGTGACACTAGCACTGGAGGAAGGAGCAACCCTTCCTCCTGATATTTTTTCATCTGATTCGGATGGTCCATCGTCCTCCTCCGAGAATACAACCCTGCTGCTACTTGCTTCTTCTTCTAGTATGGGCGGCAACAATGTCATCTCAAAGAGGCTCGAGGTGGACTTTTTCTTTCTGCTAGTATTGCTCAAGATTCTTTTCCTCACCGCTGCAACAGCTGCATCCACAACGCGCGAGCGCACTTGCCTTCCATTCTCGTCATCCTCCTCGCCTATATACCTATACTCAACTTCCCCATCCTCGCTCCAGGAATTCTCCTCATCTGAAGATGCCACTCGCGAGTCACCAAAAAAACCCGTCGTTTTGTTCCCGCTCGTTTTGTTTGTCTTTTTCCTTCCACTTGCACTTGATGTCGTCCTCCCACCAGCTTTAATATTGGCTTTCTCAACCTCGTCCTTCGCTTTCTTCTTGTTCTTAGAATTTTGCTTCTTGCGACCCGACGTAGATGAGGACGACCCCTCTACTGTGCTGAACTCCTCATCTTCATTGTCGTCAAGGCCGTCTCCGGCACCAGCCGCATTGACTGCTCTTTCCGCGATTTCCTCTACGTCTTCATCAATCGCCCAGCTCCCAGACCGAACTTTTGATTAGAGGTAAAAGTCTCGTCCACGCCTCTCAACAAGAACCTTTTTTCCAGTAGGGAGGGCTAGGATTAGGGATTTCTAGGCTTCAACTAAGGCTCATCAGAATCTTAGACAGGACTGCGCCTCAATCTGGTTCTAATTTTGTGTTTTGTTATCGGGCTAAGCCTAAATACTTACTACAACTACTTGATGCGTCCTTACTAGCTAGCGGATAGTTCACATCGGACCCGTGAATGATCTTATTCAAAAGCTGCACAACCGCAGTCTTAATTTGATGCAGCCGCGATCAGAATGGCTTGCTGATGGATCTGCCGGAAGAGCCTCACGTGCTCCCGCATGCTATCGTGCCAATGCTGAAAGCGTCCTGGATCTGCGCAAAAACGCCGCACTTGCTCTTTCAACAGAAGGTTGAGCTGGGGTCTCTCACGCTCACCAAACTCCCATTCTTTGAATCGTTGCTGCACAGCTCCTTGGAGCACTGGAGCTAGATGGTCTTCACTCTTCAGCAGACTGCTGCTGTAGTCATTTTTTTTAGAGTAATTTGACATTTTCTTTGAGGCCTTAGAGGCACTTGGACTTTCAAAACCTTCATCTGGGTCATCTGCTATGCCTGATGTTGATGCCGCAGTTTTTCTCTTCTTCGCGGCGCCCGGCGCGTTGACCTTGAGCTGCGCCGCATTTGCTGCAGATGAGGATGATATTGAAGGCGAAACCGGAGAAGTTATAGCTGAAGATGAGGCTCTCTTCTGTCCAGGCATCAGAGGTGCCAGGACCTGCACACTGTGACCGGAGGGGTTCGCAACTGCAAGTGTTTTTTGCGGTGTCTTGGTGGTCATCCTCTCGACTATCGAATTGTACTTCTGCTTTTTCGAACGAGCGGCGCGAGTGTTGTCGGCACTCCTAAACATCTGTCTGGAGGAGGATTTTGTACTAGGTACACCTTCTGGCGAAAGCGCAGAAGACTCGTTATGTTGGCTAGAGCCCTGCTCGGTTACATGGGTCGCCACTGCTCCTGTTGAACCTTGTTCGGTTACACGTGTCACTGGGATGAAGCTCGTGTTCAGTTTCAAACCACTGAAATTCAGATTTAGACCTCCTCCATCTTCATCTTCTTCTCCTTTAAGAGGACTTACGACGGCTGATGCTTTCATCGACGAAGTGCATTGTTGTTTTCCTTGTCCAGGTGCAAATGGTACTGCAGAATTTTTCATCGTCTTAGTCTTACTTCTGTCATGATGAACCTGCTCATCTACTTCAGAAGTACTAGTGTCCTCCTCGTTGCCCACTATGGTGCTTCCGTAGCCAAAAAGCAGTTCCTTGAGTCGTTGTCGCTGGTACAGATCCGAAAATATCATCCGATAAGTGCAGATCACCAAGTCTGCGCGTTGGATATCACCGACTGTGAGGAGACGTAGAGGGTTAATATTCCGCAGCACAAGCACGGTCCATTTGCGTGCTGGCAGGAATTTCACGATTTCCCTCTCCCACTGGTCGACCAGATGGGCTGGAACTAACAGTAGAGTGGCTTTGCTGTGGAAATAGCAATCGTGGTCAAGCAGTTTCGCTTCGTCTTGTTCAACTGTCACACGGTGTGGTGCAGCTGGATTTGTACTTTTACTACTAGAAGAACCTCGTCCCTGTCCATCATGATCCCCTCCAAGAATATTTGATGAAGACGAAAGTGTATGAGTATTGCCACGTCGAGCCCCAGTTTTACGCTGTTTTGGACTTCGGCTACTAGGATGGCAGTCAACAGATGCTAAGCATCCGGGCTCGATTGCGTCGCGAGACCCATCTTCAGAGGCTACACGGCCAAATTTTTGCACTTGCTCCGCTATAAACTCTCTCAAGCGTTGCATCCGAGGTCCTCGTTTTGGGTCTGGACCACTTCCTAGACTATATTTCCAATTCGAAATGACTGCTGAATGGATATTGCTATCTGGTACTGCGTTACAGCTTGTTGTTTCCGTCTTTGTATTTTTCGTTGACGGCGAGGGTGAGGAGGTGTTGACAGTTCGGTTGTGTGCTTTGCTCTTTTTGTCAGAAGTTGTTGTCTTGACGTTGTTTTTCTTAACGGGAGAGGAAGCACAAGATGAGTTCATGGACTTGTTCTTCTTGCATGTTTTGCTATTGGTACCCGCCTTCTTGGTACTAGTCTCTTCTTCTCCGAGGGCTTCTACATCTACTTCTCCACTGGGAAACAGTCTACAAGAAGATGGACGTTCTTCTGGTGCTCCCACTGCAAGCTGCACGTCTATTCCTGATAAGATTTTTCGAGTAGACCGTCTCTTTTCTTCTTCGGCATCGTCGATTCGCCTATCATGTTCCAATCCCGAGGGAAATAATGGCGCACCCATTCTGGGAAATAGCCTCTCTTCGTACTCACAAGGGACAGCCACTTCACTGTCCTTCGCCAACAAAGCCAAAACGGTTGCCGTCTTCCCGCTCCCCACAGGATTCGCTAACACTCCACCGCGCGCTCAGACTTAGAGCTGAAACTACAACTACAAGTGCCAGTTGTGGAGGATTTGCAATTGCATATCTTTTTTTTTTGTGGAGTGAATTTTTGAGGCTGGAGCCTCGTGCCCAGAAGAACTTGAATCATGTGCATTGGATGCAACTCATATTATAGTATATCAAACACTGAGACACGTGCAACTCGCCTTAAGAAAAAGCAGCCTTCAACCGCAAGTGCGCAGTCCATGACGCAAGATCTTCACTCGCGAAGGCACCAGAAAAGAAACGATGATACAACGCCGTGAAGGGTGGAGCAGCAATCTCCCGCTCTCGCATCCATGCCACGGCCGCCAATTGCGCTGGGCGTAGTGGATGCATCGGCGTCCAATCAGAAGGTGCGGAAGCAGATGCAGCTAGAGGTTGAGCTAGATGAGCTCTTGCTGGACGACCTAGACCTTGAGCTTGAGAAATAGTATGTGACACCTTCCCTTCCTCGTCCTCCTCCTCCTCTGGAAAGAGCTCAATCTGTGTAGTCTTGGAGTCTGTGATACACAGTTCGGCGTCGACCTTGGATGCTTGAAATTGAAGGCGTTCATGCATTACCTTAAACAGACGAGAAAAATCGAGTTCCAAACGGTTCTTGGGGTTGTCGGATGTATGTTCTTGCTCATGCTGTTTCTGGTTCTCTATTTGTGAGGACTTCACCGTAACAGCTGCTGCTTTTGGTGTGCTACTTTTCGTGCTGTTCAACATCTTCTTCACACCTTTCGCAGCGTTTCCTTTAGCCGTCATAGTCACTACTTCTGCACTTGAGGAGGACGAACCTCCCGCTTGAAGGCGTAGTTCTGATACTGGTGCAACTTCCTTTCCCTTGTTTATCCTTGCCTCAGGCGCGAAAAGAACTGCACTCCGAATCATCTGCTGTCTAGTAATATTTCTCCGTCTCAGCAAATGCTGGTTGTGTTTTGATGCTAGCAGTTCGTTCACCTCTTTCTTCTCCCCAGAAGCAGAAAAACATCCAGCCTTGGAAATCGTCTGCTTAGTCATCACACCAATGTCGTCTTCAGCAAGTCCACGACTCGGTCCCTAGAAGATTGATGGTAGGATGGAAATGGTCACGATGAAGTGGAAGTGCCCACCATTACCTTAAAAAAACATGAAAAACGTCTACATCTACGTCTAGAACGAAGTATACTGTGTAAGCCTCTCCCCTCTGCAAGAAGTTGTGTGCGGCATGTGTCCAATTACGGTTGCCTCGATCGTCCGCACACATCAGGGCAATGTTGTTCAGTGCCTCCTCTAAGAGGATACTTTTTTTGATGCCAACCAATGTTGCTCCTTCAGCTCCTTCTTCTGTCCTGCTACGAGTTCCAGTTCTTGTACCAGCAAACTTCTGATGTTCTTGTTCTTTCGCTACAACCAATTTAAAGACGTTTCTCAGCATCGCAAAGTTGGGGCCAGCTCCGAGTATGCGGGTCTCGTTGAAGAGCGGTCGCCAATCAAGACCAAAGAAGCGATGCATGTAGGCGAGCAGTCCCCGATCGAACACGAATTGCCGTAGCTGCTGTGTTTTCTGCGTCAACCTTAAGAATGCGGCGTCGAGTCGCGGTGGACAGAGTTCTACTACATCTCCGTGGTCCTTTTGAATTTGCTGTTCCTTGACCTTGCTACTTAAAAGTTGTGCCTGTACGTCCTTAGCCTGACTTATATTGTTCAACTTCAAACTTCTACTTTTGATGGTCGTCTGATCTGCTCCACGTTCACGTTGTTCACCTCTTTTCGATGCAGGCACGCCTTTGAGTTCGACAGCGCAACGTTTCCATCGTGCCTCTCTTAGTTGTAGAAAGTAAGAAAGAAACGACCGCGCTTGTGGATCAGAATTAGCAGCTTGCAAAAGCACTGCTAGAGCATGCAAACCACTAGCGGTAACTGAGTTTTTGTCCTTGTCTCTGTCTGAAACTGAAACTCCTGAGACTTTATTATTTTGTGCTTGTTGTATAGTTCCTGCAGGAGCGCCTCGTGGTCCTTCTGAAGACGAAGTAGTCGTACCAAAGCCAGCAACTTTCGTTCCAACGGTTGCAGTACTTGAAGAGGAAGGTGCGGAGGACGAAGATGTACAACCAGAACCTGAGCCAGCAGAGCCTAAAGCCACTAATTTCCACTTACTATTGGGAAAATGAGTATCATCAACAGCGTAGTTTTCTTCTTGCCCTGTAGTGCTGACATCTTCATAATCCTCTCGTACTCGTACTTGCTTGCACTCTTCTAAGCGTGCAGAAGTCGCTGACACGGTTCTTCGTCTGGCTAATGCTAATGCTCCAGATGTTACAGTGGTAGTCGCACTAAGACCACCACCACCACCACCACCACCACGTCTGTGATAGCCAAGATAGAAAACCGTTACATTGGTCATCTCAGGATCTCGAATACTTCGCGTCCCGAAAAACCATCCTGGCCAAGGACCCGAAAACTGCTCTGCGAGTACAAAGCTGAGGTTCCCTTCAAGTGGAGCATTTTCGAAATAACCCAGTTCGCCAGTGAGACCGCTCGTACGGCCATAAAACATCGAAGGCGCAATGTCAGGACCAAGGTACGCACCACGAAAGGCTGGCTTGACAACATTTGAAGATGAAAACAACTTTTCTGGAAGTACGTCTACCCTTGTGGGAGCTCTATTTCCTGGTCCTCTGCGTGTACCTGTACCTATTGCTCTACCAGTACTACTACTACCACTTGCATCGAGATCATGAAGAATCCCCGGTCTTGTAAGACTTGCAGTGTCTGAGGAACCTCTCGCACTTCCACTGCTCTGCGTTGCTGCCGAGGCGCATCGCGCAAGGTAGAAGCCCTCACCGCGCCGTCCTAGCCCGTGCACGAATGGATTCTCTTGTCGTTCTCGAGGCGTCAGTCGTGTTTGGTACGCGGTTTGGATTAGATGTCATCAGTGTCAGAGGTACTAAAAAATCAAAGAGAAAACGAAAAAATGTCAGTGTCAGAGGTACTAAAAAATCAAAGAAAAAACGAAAAAAGAAAAACTCCCGTTCTTCATAATTCTGAGAGAAAGAAGTCTGGGTAGACTCGCACATAGCACAGGGTGGGATCGTCCACGCCTGCGAGGTCTTCCGTTTCAGTTGTAGTCCCAGTCCTTCCCCCGACAGCGGCTTCTGTCGTTCCCACAGAGTCACAGGCTTGCTCTTTTACTTCTACTTCCTTCTTTTTCTGTTCGTGTTCTTCTAGTCCAACTGTCTTCTTGTTCTTCTCGTGTGTTTCTTTCCCACGTTCTACTTGGGTAGCCCCTCCGAAAAGTTTGCGTAGCGCTTCGCGAGCCGGACGATCGGCAGTTGGCCAGCTACGTCGTAGCCCTTCTTCCCAGAAGCATCCGATCGCGTTTGCCCGCCTCTCACACCAGCAATCTTCATCTGGACGAGGCTTCTCATACCGAATCTCAAGACGCAATCGAGAAAGACGATGCCTCGTAGTCGTTTTAGGGATCCTTGTTGTACCCTGCTCTTGCGCTGGACGAAATGGAGTCATTGTACTAGTGCCTCCAGCTGTGCCCTGTTGTGAAATCATTGTGTTAGAGGTTGCGACATTGCATTCTTCAGATCATCCCTGACCCTTTTCCTACTGGAAAAAATGTCAAGGATGGTAGTGAAGAATGCAATGCGGTCACCCTTAATTGTTACACCTCCGGGTGAGAATGAGGAGGTGGTCGTTGTATTTGTACCTTGGTGTGGAAGCTAGCGACCACGACGTTGTAGTACTAGTACCTGTAGAAGGACTAGATGAGTCATGTCCATATGTTGTTCCTGTGAAACGCAAACGATCAAATAATCTTAATCGTTTCTCTATACTGGTCTTACTTTAAATAACCCGTTCTACAGTGCTCTCTAACCAGTCCGTAACAGCGGCCGTCTTCAGAAGCGACAGACGTTCCACATTATTAGCGGTCTTGTAGTGTTGCAAAATTGATACCTCATGAAACAATGGCGTCACTTCTATTGCAAAGCAAATCGTTGACAAGGTGAACATAGACCAGCATTGCCTATACGCACCACGAAGATCATTACCCATACAAGAACTCCCAGCACAACTAAAAACTTACTAAATGTAAGTGTAACTCCAACTCCTTCGACCTTCGGGAACAAGAACAGCTCAGAATAGTAGTACTTACTCGTTCTCATGATAGGGGAAGTGGGTTCGGTAGAAGTCATATCATGCGTATCAGGGAAGCAATGGGGCGACCGAGATTATTCTTTCGCAGAAGAACCACAACACCGCAGCAACACCGATTCCGATGGTGCCAGCGCCGAAAAACCATAACACCGCAGCAACTACATCGACGATGCCAGAACCGACTTTGCCAGACACAGTACACAGGGCAACATAACCGATAATTTCTTCTCTTTGTCGACTTGCAGTTGCAACCTGTCGTGAAGAACTGCAACAACTTCTGAGGTGGAAAAGCAAATCGCTATGATTTCGCGAATCATGATGTGCGCCGAAGATTAGAAATAGACATAAAGGTCCCGCAGGAGGAGAAAGAAGCACAAGCATCGTAAGCAGTGGTTGTCGTAGTGGTTGTGGTACCACGAGCACTAGTAGTGAAGATACGATAGTCGCAGTTGCAACCTGTCGTGAAGAACTGCAACAACTTCTGAAGACAATCGTCTCCGTAAGTAGACAATCGTCTCCGTAAGTGCTTTCATGTTCAGATGAATCCGATAGGTGCGTGGTCTTCATCATCGATCATAAGATTGGATACGCGGTGACCCGTCGTCCACAGGGGAACGAACCTGCATCTCCATCCCACGACGGTCATCGCCTCTCATCTAAAAATAATTTCCATCATCTACGAAAAGAACTTCTCGGATAGTACTTGATCGATTGATTCTTGATGTACTACCTACTCCTCGTGAAGCAAATAGCCCCTTTTTCTCGTTACCGGCGTCAAGCTTTTCAAGCCAACCCTTCTATCGACGGCCTGTATTCAATCCGTTTGCACCCCCGGTTGCCCTCGAAAGGTGGGCTACTAATTGCTGCATCGTTTCTACTTGTTCTTGGAATCACAATAAAAAATAAAATTTTAAAAGCATGACCTTCCAAATATTACGTATTACCTGCAATAGTTTGTTTACGTCTGAGCGCATTCATTGATTCTTGAATATTTTAGTTTTTACTTACTTAGGTTAGCGAGCTTACCGGACATCATGTTGCAAACTTTTGCAATCAACGAACTACATCAATGGACAGGAGATCAGGCTGCGGACGAGGAGAATGCGCCGGGCCCAAATTTATGCACTACGGCAGGCCCAGATGTGGGGGATCAAACGCCACACATCCCGCAAGCACTCCAATCGTAAGACCTATCGCGACGCGAGTCTTAAGATACTTCGTGACGCAGTGACTGAAAACCAAAGGAAAATAAACATAATAGCTGCGCAATATATACTTTGCGAAGAGGAAGACAAACGAGATGGATAATATTAGTGGTGGAGCACATAAGTCTAAGTGGAAAAAAACGAAAACCAAGAAAAGAAAATGAAAAATCAGTCAAGTACTCATCTACTACAATTACAGGATCAAGATCGAGATCGCAATGGTGAATATTATCATCTTCTCAGGATTCTGATTATTCTCGCACGCGATCGCGACCCGGATGGCCCGTGTGGTAAAAGAAAAAAAATACTCATGAAGTGCAATGCGGGCTCATGATTATCCTCGAAGGAGGATGAATGCTTCTCCTTCAACTTCTATCGAATTATAAGAGAAATCAACCCTCCGACAAAATAGTTTCCTCCGACATGTGCTGACAAAATAATTTTCGACGCAGCATCCAGCGCCTTCTTTGATTCAAGTCTGTGTCTTTCAATTCATAGTTGCTACATCATTTTATTCCTATCTTCGCTGACGTTTACGCTATTTCCTTAGAGCGAAGTATTAGGACTCAGTGGCCCTTTTTCGCGTTAGTATTTCATCTTTGCCCAATGTTGCAATTCATTTTCATATAAGTACACAAAGAAAATAGAAATAGCGCAAGTTTGTTGAATTATAAAACAAGTGGATCTAGTTATGTCTTTAGTCCTTCTTACTCGATTTGTACCTGTACGATACAATCTTTCACATCAATGACAAGAAGTGCTAGTGCTTGCTCGCCGTTTCAAGATCCACCTCCATACATAAAAGATATAAACAACATCTATGAATATCTTCATATGGAAATTTTTTTCAAAGCTACTCACGCTTCTTCAACGCTATTCATCAGCCAAGGTTCCATTTACGACGAAGAAAAGAACCAAAAACAAGCAAAATAAGCCATACCCGTCTCCATTTTTCAAAACTTAATTTATCATCTAGTAAACGTCAGCGTCACCCTCACTTGTAGTACAAATCGTTCTGATACGACTTCTACTTAGATATCGATACTCATTCGCCGTTTTTCTGCCCTTTGATTTCAGCAGCAACCTTTGCTGTCCTTGTTTGGCTTCGGTTGCGCACCCGCTGCTTGTACCGGAGCAGCCGGCGCTCCTGAAGAACCCGGCGCTCCTGAAGAACCACCCGCAGCCGGCGCTCCTGAAGAACCACCCGCAGCCCGCGCTCCTGAAGAACCACCCGCAGCCGGCGCTCCTGAAGAACCACCCGCAGCCTGCGATCCTGAAGAACCCTGCTGTTGAGCGGCCGCCGGATGCGACTGCGTAGCGGATTGGAACGAAGAAGTCGCTGCAGGCAGAACTTCTGCCTGCGGCCCCGGAGTATGCGACGTCCCCAGAGGTGGAGGATTCGACAGCGGAGGCGGACTTGGAGGCGGCACAGTGGAGGCGACCTGGTTCGGCTTGTTCAGGCAGCAGTGACTACGCAAAACATCACGGAACGCAATCCCCTCCATTAGCTCCACGCTCCAAAACCCGTTTGGGCCGTTTGCGTTTAGAACGGCTGACTTCGCGTCTTCAACAATATTCGCCTCAACTTTCTCCGTCCCCTCAAATGTGCGCCGACTTCCGCAGTATCTGTTTGGGTTCAAAGCCGATGCGGGTCGGAGCTTGTCAGTCTTCTTTTTGGACCACATATTCATTGGTATTAACAAGCCTAACTTGAAGTTCTCGAATCCCGCTGTCGGAGCAACGGCGCCCTTACCTGCCAACAGCATCGCATCGTCCCAGACTTTCTGACAAGATACCATGCCCACCGCAGGGGGCTTCTGCATATATTGCAGCTTGACACCGTACCCGGCGCCAACGAAGGCACTCGCAACCACGAGTTGCAGAAATTTTTTTGAAAGTGGACGAGCCATCTTGCTTGATTGAGACACTAACTGTGTGGATGTAAAAAGATTCGCCAAACTTCTGAACCTACAAAAAGGAAGTGCCAACGCCTGCACCCATAAAAATTCGAGCTTCGTCGAATCTTATATTATAATTATATCCAAACTCAATTGTATATGAATATGCTGATGTTCCTTATCCTTCCCTGCGAAAGCGAACACGTAATAAAACCTAATTTTTTTTTACTGTTGTGTAATTCGAAATAATAGACCGAAGATATCTTCTGATTGTAGTTGTGCCTAAAACTAGGCAAACACGGTTAAAATCCAGATCCACTTCTACAGTGTAAAACTTGGGGATTCAAAGCCTCTTTTCTCTGTGTAAAGAATTAATATGGACGGGGTAAGTATTTAAAACATTTTACCCAGTTCCAGATGAATCAGATCAGACTCAGACGGGCGGGGTAAGTAAAACATTTTATCCAGTTCCAGATGAATTAGAAGATCAGCCTCAGACAGAATCTTCAAGGTCGCTCGAATGATAAAACAGAACTAGCTTCTCTCAGAGTCAAACAGAAGTAGGTCGTCCCTCAAATGATCAGACGGACTATTTTTTTAGGGCTCTCAAAAATGAGGTCGTCTCTCTGCCGAGTACGGCACTCAGGAGAGACAGACGGCAAGCAAGTGCTCAGTAGAGCTCCCGAAAACGCGTGATGCAGCACTCTCCTGTGGCATGCGCCAACCAACCAAATGCCACGGCTTCATCTTGTGACAAGATGAAGACGTGGCATTTGCTAAGATATCTTCAGCAAGGCGACCGCAAGAACCAAATTGATCGATACAATCTCAATTTTTCTTACAGATTCTAGTACATACTTGAGTTCTTGATGCAGTTGTTGACTAGGAGTTGTGGTAACCATACTGATACTTTCACTTGTTGTCTTTGCAGCCTTGTTGATCATTCCTTAAGAACTGTCGAGTACTTGCACATCTCCACGTCCTCGTCTTTCATTTTTTTATGCACATAACCTTCTGCTTCTATAACGTTGCGGTTAAGAATTAGGATTAGGACCGACGATATAACGCACTACTGCACTAGTAGGACCGAAGATGATGATCATGTTAGTCGATTCGGACTGTACTAAGATTAACATATATGTCTAGCTGCTGCTGTAACATACTAAAAATTTACTTATAGTACAGTCTTGGAATACTAGGTATTGATTTTTTCTTGCATCAACATTTTACAAGTAGTGTTTACTATAGATACAAGAGATCTTACACCATTTTTCATCTAGTCTACACGAGTTAGCATGTCCACTTTCTTCACCTTAGTGCACCCGAACTAGGCAAAGCGGATACCCGACGACTTCCTCCTGTAGCACCATAGTTGTCCCTGCTTGCACTACGTCCTCGTGTTGCACTGTAGTTGTTACTAGTCAGGTCTCTTTGTCTTCCTCTTTCTGTGTTTTCAAGATAAGTTGCTGCATCCATCTCTTCTTGACCCGACACGTCGTCTTCGTCTTTTGGAATAGGTGGTAATTTCGCATTCCTTCGTTCTGCAGCCTCCTCTGCTTCACGCACTAGAGTGGCCTCGACGGTCTCTCCGACCACTTTCGTTCGGAAGATTAGAGAACGACGGGGACGCCTACAGCAGCGAAAGATAAATAATTATCTGCTCTCGGAGCCTTCTCCTAGTCGTACAGTACGCGAAGGAATACAGACCACAGAAATATCTGAGACTAAGAGTTCTTTTATTTTGCATGTAGGGATACACCTAGGCTATGAGGGGAAAACGAACCGGTTTTTCTTCTGGATGAGTTTGATTATCTGTATCATGAAAGAAGAAATACGAGGAAAAACTATCCGGCGTTACTTTTCTTTTTGTGTGCAGGTGCATTATGGAGCCTTAAGAAGAGTGAGCCTGCGACCGCGCTTTTCTGCGCCATGTTTTCAGTGAGCCGCACGTTCGGAACCAGCATTGGCAAAAGGAGCACATTAGAGCTGAAAACAATTTCAACTCACCTCATACGTATGCGTACTACATGAATTCCCCCCACGCATCGTAAGAAGAGAATACAAATGGGGGTATGCGTACTACATTTCTCCCTATCGTAAGTTAGTAGAAGTATGTGTAAGGAAGAGACTACTCTAGTAAGCGTGGCACTTCAACAGCTTACAGCATTTAGTAGAAGAAAATTTAGGGAGAAATGGCTCGTAGAAATGGCTGGTATTGAGCCTTAAGCAAAGGCAGGATTGGCAAAATAGAATGTATCAGAGCCGCTTTCCAGAGGTTATCGAATTGTGCCGATTCATTGTCTTCTCCACGAGGATGCACACCTAGTATTAGAACTAGGAGAAATCCATCTTCAGCCGCATCTTTCTTGCCCCTTGCTGAAACGGGACCAAGATGCATGTGGAGAGGAGATGGATTTCTTGTAAGTAGCCTTAATAGTAGATGGAGCACTAAGGCACCACTGCTTCGACCTTGACTGAAGCCCATTACGGCAACGGCATGTAAAATGGCAACCATGATGGCTTCCCCGTTTTAGAGCAGGTAGTCGATCATTTTTATCCCTGGTTGATCTTGAGCAGTGGGTAGGTCCCTCTCTTGTACTTACCCCATAGAAAAAGCGATTTGCTGACCTCTAACTAAGAGGAATATATAACCCAAACCCACTTAGGAGCACGACGAGCATAGTCGGTCCATATCCAACAATCAGTGGGAAGCTAGTGAACATCTATTTTGACTAGCCTTAAATATTCCTCGGACACAAGAGGGACATCAACGCTAGAAAGGCCATCAAAGACCAGACGTGGGTGAAATCGTATACTGCGCCACTGAAGAGGATCAAAAAATGATCGATGAACCATCCATGTACTAGGCGAGAGAACTGCAACGCTCCTACCAGGTTGCAGATCACAGCAATCACCGAGGACGCTAAAATTAGAGAGAGAGCGAGCTTTGTTTCGCTTGAAAACCAACGGACAGGTGAGCAGTGAGTGAGATGCTGAAAGAAAAGTAAGATTGCACTTCTGAGTGAGATGCTGAAAGATGAGTGAGATCGGACTGAGTGAGAATGAGATGCGAAAAGTGAAAGATCATGAGTAATACTTACTATTACCAAGTTGTAAGATGGATTTCGATTCGTTTCCCATTCCGTGACATGATGGACATATTCCGAAACATTTTTAAGCCTTAACATTAAGAGAGAGTAGACTCGCATCTCGGTCATGTAGATGGAATAGAACCAGAACCCTGCAAGATTGATGACCGCGCAAAACAACGGCAAACTCGTTGCTACGAACATGGTACTGAACCCAGGGCCTTGAGGGTATTGCGTCTCTTAGAGCTGGTGCAAGAGATGCATTATCTCGGGCGGACTCTCTCATCAATGAATTTTTTTGGTTATGGTTCTCCCCATTTGTTGAAAATATAACTTCCTCTTGTGGAAAAATAAAACCACGGGAGGTGGGCCAAGATGAAGGCTTTGCTGGAAAAGTAACAAGATGGATTTCTTGTAGCCTTAAGTCTTGGTGTCCGTCATGAAGTAGAAGACGGCGCCGTCAATCGTCACCGTCATGCTCGTGCCAATGTAGAAGAAGACCATCACTTTCGCGATGATCGGCGTCAACACCAGTCCCGCAAACAGAATCGCACTACCGCTTAGCGCGAGAGACGAGAGGAAAACGGTAAATGGAGGCAGCCGGGCCATGGACAACGCTACGTTCCCGCAAGATACGACTACCATGTAGGCACACAGCGCTACAATCTCCCGTGGCGGCGCGGTATACTGGACCTCAGTCACTCGTCTGCCAACCAGAGGCTCACTTGCAGCTCCAGCTGTAGTTTGGAAGTAGGAAAAATGTAGTTTTGATTGATTGTTTGTAGAACACGTAGAAGCTATAATCAAGTACACGGAAAAATGCTTTAGTTGCGAACAAGCAGTTGCTATTATTTTAGAACGAACAACAAGGGTGGTCATCATTTTGTAGTCTTTCTTAGTCGTTGTCGTAAGTCACGACCTAATAAATAGTAGTTCATAATCACAGATGCACACATCAATAGTTTTCGTCAAGTACAATCGTATCTTGTCCATGAAGACATCAAGGATATCATAGGTCCCCCATCAACGAACAAGACCTACGGAGAGACCAACTACCATGAGTAGTTGGAGGAAAAAGACGAGTGGAACTCCAATGACGGGGGATGTCATGTGTGCGTCTCTGTCATCATTCATCTTTTTTTGGTATCTATGGTACTGTTTAAGTACACGCCCGGATGAACATTAAATAATCATCTAAGAGACTGAAATGCAAATGAGTAGTAAATAAGTATGTACCATTCGCCGTTTGCGTTCCCCCGTGTGACATTAAGAGACCCGTTCGCCCTTGTGTGCGACTATTCCTTGCTGCGATATGGCCAAAAGCTGTTGGCGCTTCAAAGTCTTCACCCTCAGCCCCACTAGGTGTCGCACTACCAGTCGCACTAGCGTTCGCGCTAGCCGCCGTACTCGCAGTAGCACTCGGCGTTTCTGTCGGGTTAGCTTGCTGTTAGAGCTAGTACCGATGAGCTGCATTCCTGAGACCATCTTCCCTGGACCCTTTGATGCTTACCCCTTGAAAATGAGGCTAGGGAATGGCCATTCCTTTTCCTGCTCCCTTTTACTTTCTCGAGTGGAAAACATCCACAACCCTGGACCACCCTTTTACTTTTTCATTCAAGACGAAAATCAAGGGGCCAAGGAAGGATGACGATTTGAAGGGACGATGATTCCTCGGTCGTTGCCTTAATGTTGAGCTAGTGGAGGTCCTGCCAAGTAGAGATCTGCTCCTCTCGAGCCTCTTTGTTCCAGAGACTCGTTGTTCTGGCGGGCTTCCTCTTAGAAAGAGAAAATAAAGGAACAGAATGACTCGTATGAGATGTAGTAGTAGTATTCATTTCAAGAAGATGCAAGGCGAAATGTATTCATTTCAAGAAGATGCAAGGTACTAGTAGTGGAGGTATTCAAAAAGATATAAGGCGAAATAAAGAACAGGTAAGTACTTGTTGCAGATCGATGATGCAGTATAGAAGTGCCAGCGCAACTACGCTAAAAAAAACCAAGTTCAAGTTTACAACAATTTCCTAGTTTTTTTTCTAAATCGTCGTCATGATAGTCGTGAATGGCATTTTGAGCCTCTTGTACTTATCAAACTGAGGAAGGGTGCACCGTAACACTCATCCAGCCTTTCAGGTCTTCATGAGGTTCCTCTTCCCTTAACAAGATGTACTAGAACATGAAATTCAAACAACAAGAACTATAGATCGCTACAAATGACGACTACAGTAGATTCCAATAGAAATGTTTGATCACATCGTCCACCAGTATAGGTGTCATCCAAGAAGTAGTAGTAAGTATAGATAAGTATATAGTAGGTATACTCTTACTAGTATAGTAGGAGTAGTAGCAAGTATAAGTATAAGTAACCTCCAGTGCTGGCACGACAGTGGTTCACCGTAACTATAACGAGCAACTGCATCGGCCGAGGTATTAGCAACTCTTGGACTTAGTGCTGGCTGACTTGCGTACGGTTGTTCGTCGTCTCCGCTGAATCCATACGCTCTTTTTACCCGCTCAAGAAAACTCAGCGTTTGCTCACCATCTTCTCCTTCTGCAGCTACGGGCAAAGATTGCGAGACAGGAGTTGTGGAAGACACAGATTGCTGTCCTCCTGCAACATTAGAGCTACGGTTCGCATCCCTCAGTCTTAGTAGCAGACTGTTCGCATGCGAACACATTAGTACTACGGTTCGCATGCTGTCCTCCTCGCATCCCTCAGTCCCTGATCCTTGGCTATGGCTTCTTTTTCAAGTAGAAAAAGAAGAACCTCCAAGGTGGGCCATACAACATGGTGCTAAGAGTAGCATGGTCCTTAACAACAACTGCAACTTCATCCTCCTCTTCTTCCGAAGAGAATGCGTCGTCCTCGTGGTAGATATCTTCACCATCGTCGTAGCCCTCTCGCAGCCATCCTAGGAAAAACGGAATCGAAGCAAGAAAAGACAAACCCGCTATAAAATAAAGCGGAACGAAATGCCCATGGTGCTCCTGCATATAACCGGAAAAGCAAATCGCTATGATTTCGCCAATCATGATGTGCGCCGAAGATTAGAAATAGACATAAAGGTCCCGCAGGAGGAGAAAGAAGCACAAGCATCGTAAGCAGTGGTTGTCGTAGTGGTTCTCGTACCACGAGCACTAGTAGTGAAGATACGATAGTAGTACTATCCTGCTTAGAAGTTAGTAGCAGCTAGTATTCTTGATGAGGTTGAGCAGTCAGTGCTGACAGTGTAGCACTTATTCAAATTTGAGGCACTATGATCTAAAATAAGGAATCTTGCTTTCATCTTGATGTTCGACTCATTTGTGTATCTTTTCCGAGAGATGCATTATGTAATCGTACCTCGTCCCTCCTGTACGTGTTGCACCAGAACTCGGTAATTCTGTTCCCACACTAGTGCTCGTGCTGCAGTGACCTCTATAAAAAACCTTCACCACTGCTCTGTTAATTAAGTATTTGGCTTAATATTTCATCCGCATCATAACAAGAGAAGGTGATGATTTTCGGACCGCATTTTGGGCGACGGCGAATGATGTCACTGAATCTCGCGTCAATCAGCAATCCGGCGACAGCGTTATGCATGAACGCCGCAATGTATTAGACCTTACCGATATTCATCCTGAGGAGCATGAATGAATGAATGAATAAATGTGCCTAGCGCGAGGTGGTGCAGTTTTTTATGTCGCGTGCGACAAATTTCTTTCCATGTTCAATCTTCACTTTCCTTTCTTCATTTTGCCTCTGTTGTTCCACTACATTTTTGCGTCTTGGCACTAACTACGTAGTCATCAAGAATCTTGGCACTAACTACGTAGTCATCGAGTTCATCAGCAAAGTACTTAAACCCACCTTCCAAGTAGCTTAGATGCTTGTTAGGGCAGATGAGTATGCGGAGGTAAGCCTTAAGTGCAAGCTAGAACGAACATGAGCACGGGCACAACCTGTGTCCTCACATACTGGTTCCGTTGACTATCGACCACAAAAGTCCTCCCGTCCGGATCGTGTTCGTACAAGGTCTGTCCTCGAATACCAATATACAAAGGAAAGCCAACACCGATAAAACCTGTTTGTGGGGATAAGAGAGGGGATGGATCGAACGCCTCAGGCTTTTCTTTGAAGCCTTTTGCAGTTTGTCCACCGCTCCTAGGAATTGAACTACCAACATATAGAGGGAAGCAAACACGGATTTTGGAGATTGCTAGAGGGTTTTTGGGGGAGCAATCTCCAAAATCGGGGTTTGCTGGAGGGGACATTGGGGGACGAGATATATTCATCAGAATAATAAAGCGGACGAGCAGGAGGACGCCTAAGCCATTTTTAAAAAGCCTATGCAAAAATTATACCTGCAAAGAGAATGAATGGAAGTTTTTTCTGGATGACTGGCAATGAATCTGAGACAATGCCCCAGAACGGCTGCAGGACAAACATCGAGAGCAGAATGTTGTTGTAGATCTGCGCTCTTGGTCCTTCGATGTGGTAGAAACGCATGCCGAAATCGAAAACACGAGTGGCTACTATGTATTGAGCGCCACGAACCAGCACTGCAACTATAGCTACCGTGCATGCCAGTCGCCAGCCGAGCATGCGGATGCCACGCCTGAAGTTCAGGTTTGTAGGACAAGAACCATGAAATTGATCGCAATTAAATCTTAGACTTAGGTCTTGTTGGCCTACAAAAAAAAGTAGGAAGTACTTGTTGGTGTTCTTGTATTGAAATGAATTCCAATAAAGGGGACCAGGAACAAGACCTCCACCACCACAGGGGAGGGGAAACCCATCATATTATAGCTTTAGCACTTTCTTAATACCATACCGATGCCCATGCCGTTAGACGTATCACACTGATAATGCGAATCTGTTCCAAGATTTCGTGACGATCACGATTTCTAAGAAAAATCTTATTCTTAAAGAACTTAAGAACAGAGACATCCGTATCAAGTACTTGTAGAATTCCAATGGGTTTAATCTGCTGCACTTCACTTTTCCACAGCATCCTCGACTTCTCCGACTTCGCCGTCTCGTCTCAACCGACTCTGCCGCAGACGATGACCCTGATTCAGCCGAAGAGGAATCCGGATCCGTTTCATATTGGGTTCCGACAGTCTTGCCGACTGCTTTACTCCTGGCTGATTTTAGACCCTTTTTTTCGAGGGTCTTGGCGTCCACCAACGCCTCCTCTAGATCGCTGTCCGCGATCGAGCTGTGGTCTTCGGCAACCATTCTTATCTCAGTCTTTAGAAGATGTGGAGAGCGTAGGCCGCGAGTTGACAAAATGCAACGACACGTGTAGAAAAATTATTATTATTATTATTGCGCGCGCGACCCGATCGTCTCGCACGTGTTACGCCCTCAGGCGATCCTACCATCCGTCACTAAGGACACCGAAAATCTAGTTCAAAAATAATCGAGATCATCAAAACCAAAACAGTGATTAATCCTAATCTAATGGAGGTAGTTTGGTCTTACAACGAGGGGTTTCGCTAAAGAATGAGGTTTTGCCTGCATATCATGTGGGATGCCAATGAGATAATTGAGGAATGGATTAATATATTGCTCTTGTTTTTGTATTTGTTCATTGAGCACAGGACGAGGAACGTTTTCAGACAGTAGATCAGCAACAGCATTCCTTTGACAACAGATACAGAACAATATGCCTCTACTCAATACAGATAAGCACTCGCCATCAACAGAGCAAGAATAATACAGATAAGCACTCGCCATCAACAGAGCAAGAATATGCCTCACAAGACTAGAGATACTACAGCGGCCTCACTCTTATCAGAATAGAAATACTCCTACCGATGAATCCTTCAAAGCCATTCTTGAGTCATTCTCAACAGATGTCCGACCTGCTCAACACATGTTCAAGTCGAGTTGCATCATCTCTCAGTAGCACGACAGACAATGTCTCAATCTTGCGTCCCTCACCTCTCTCCACCAAGAACAGATTAAAAATGCTTAGCACCACAGACCACCAAGAACTCCACAAGACAGGTCTATCGTAGCGGTGTGGACCATCGTCCACTGCTCTCTGGTTCACCTAGAGAGCATACCAAACAGAACAGGCAGATGTTCCGACGAACGGACGAAAAAAAGTGCGTGAAGAAGGCTCAGGCGCTTCGACATCATTTTATTGGCCACAGCTCTTAAAAGAGAGCAAACAACATAAGTCGTGACAAGTCTTTGACATGCGTACTAGCTTCATCGTTTTTCGTGCATGATCTTTTTCATGGCGTCTCAAATAGTTCCCCCGCATATGCTGTTCACAATCTCGAATTTCCTTGAGTATTTCAAGGATCGAAATACAAGCAACTACTCAAGGAAAATAGTACATCTTCTTTAGGTTTATTACATCTTTAGGTTTAGTACGAGGACGCACAAAGGAGCGAAAACAATCTCGCTATCTTTTTTCAAGTATGTCTTGATGTGGTTCATATCCCACACAGACACACCTAAAGTTGACCAATTTCAAGATAGAGGTTAGCCAGAAGGATACGAGAATTAGTCCTGTTACTTGGGTTGTTCGCCCTTATCCTCACTATTCAGTTGCAGGGGATAGACTTAGAATCAATTCTCTACCATGCTAGCTTACACCCCAATTGATCCCGAAAATGGTCACCAGATAACATTGAGGTGAGCGTAGTAGACTATGGCTTCGGTTGCAAGTAAAAATCATAAATTGTCTTAGTGCTATCCAGTGGTATTAGTCTAGTATTCAAGAGAGACAAGCGGCTGCATGAGCATGGTTATATGCTTGGTGGGCACGAAAAAGAACTCATTATATTCTCGAACGATGGTTATGACATTGATCTAAAAAGTTGAACGATTCTTGTTCTTATGCATGAACGGCAACGGTTCCAAGCACTGTTGAGTTCTTCTATAGGTGTCAGAGTACTAAGTGGATTACCGTTATAGTAGGCATTATGTTTATGATCTAGGAAGGTATAGACATCTTCAAAACGTCATGTTGCAATCGCAATACATACATTTTCATTACAGTTGTTCTTTGTCTTGTACATTGCAAATCATCGACTTCAAGGTGATCCGAAGGACCACCAAGACCAACTAGTGTGGTAGGTCCGATGAAACACTAAAAAGAGGTTCTCGGACGGAAGAGCAGAGCCACTTGGCACGACTCATTGCCACCTTGTTCTACCTTTATTATCTTCTCCTTTATCTTCTCTAGTCTGTGAATGTTCAAAAGACAACTCTGCGAGCTGCTCCTCTCTTCTCCTCGTCTTCTCCTCATTCATCTTCTAGAAGAAAGGCAAGCTGTAGGTGTGTAGTACCACCGTGTTCTTCTTTCTCCTGGTCGTACAACTACAACTCGTCCTTTCTTGTGCAGCAGTCCTTTTTCATCTTCTTGTTCTTCTTCGTGTTGTAGTTCTTCTCTATATTTAGTACTAGGAGTAGTTGTTCCTTGATGAAAGAAGAACGCCTATAAAACTACTTAGTGCATCTTGTTTAGTACTTTCGTCCCAAGATCAAAAAAAAACGGGTTCTTTAGTAGTCGCTTTCTTCGGATTCCTCTGCTGCTTCCTTCGCTGCAGCGGCTCTCTTCTGTTGGACTTGCGCAAACCAGCAGAAGAGTGCTGGGAACAACGCCAGAACCTGCACGATGCATGCAGTGAGGAAAAAGATGTGACGCACGTCGGTGCCGACCTCTTCCGCTGCCTTGGCGATGTCGTGACGCTCTCCAAAGGAATGGACGATAAATCCAAAAACGAAGCTTCCGATTGACAAAACGACCAGACTTCCACCCAACACCAAACCCAATTGCGAAGGGTTGGCAACGGCTTTCATGTACGCGGTGTTGATCTGTAGTTGTGTACTTGTAGAAATAGAATGTTGGAAGGGATATACATTTACGTAACAGAGGTAAAACTTCTGTAGTTGTAGGAATAGAATGAAAGAACAGTTGGAGTTGTATTCTTGTAGAAATACTAGAATGGCATGAAATAGAAGAAGATGTGAATGAAATAGTTGGTAATAGAAGACTATATTTTGTTCCCGTATGTTGATCCAGTGAAGAGGAACAAGATGACACTCGATAAGAAAATCAGTACCGTGAATAGACCACCGTAGACCACGGCTATGAGGAAGGTGAGGATGTAGAGAGTCGCTGGTGGCGCGTGCTCTGCCTGGCGCTCATCCGCGTTGTTGAAGATCGTGCAGGGCACACCTCCAATCGTGAAGACCAGGAACAAGATACCGTAGGCGATGCAGCCCAAGGGAAACCACACGGCGCACGGCATCCACATAACGCGCTTCTGCAAGAACTCCATGAGCAAACCGAGACCCAATCGCCCAAAGGCGTTTCCGAGGGTGAAGAGCATGGTGAGGAGCTTCTTAGCACCCTGGATGGCGCTGTCCATGCCCTCTCCGCTCACTGCGTGCTTCTCGTGAGCCACAGCGGGATCGTAGTAGATCAATTCAGTCTCGCTTTCGACGGTCATGTCACCGGGAATAGCCGCCTGCTTTGCGTTGGCAACTACATCCAAAGGGGCCTTCTCAAGGAGCTGGCGGAGATTGGCGTGCGCCTTGGAGTACGGCACAGCTCTCTCGTCAGTGGCTGCCTGGAAGAAGTCGGGGCGAACCAGTCTCGTGCCATCCGCAAGAGTCACTGCGGTCAACGACGTGATCCACCGGAAGAAGGGGATCTTTTCGACCTGTGCCTGGATCTTGTTGGCGAAAACCGGATAGTGGACCTTGTTGTACTTGACCTTCTCGTCGGCTTTCATGAGCTTGCGCCCTGGCATAGCCATGGCAGCGGAGTCCTTGCCGGTTGCTGGGTCCTTCTGGGTGCCGATCTCCATCTTATGCTGCAACTTTCCCATCTTGATTCCGTTCGGGCTATGAGCATCGAAGATCATTCCCATCGATTTCTGTGTGGAAGACGAAGTGAGGAGAATCAAATTGGGTTGCATCATGAGAATTCTTGTGAGTATGATCGTAATGGATTTTGAACCAGAAAACTACATAGTCAAGCACTACTAGTACGTATCAACTACGTACTACTTCGTAAATCAACATCGTCCAAGAACTACATAGTTCATCTGGATCTGCTCAAAAATTATCGTAAGTACCTGCTTGTCCACTACGCTGAGCGCATTGTGGCCATGACTTCTCAAGGAGTAGAAAGCCGGTTTCACCTCACCCGAGCTCTGGTCGAAGGAATCCTTTTCCGGCATCGCAATAAGATGCAGAGTTTGCCGAGCGGCCGCCTTCGCATCAGCCGGACGCTCAGCGACCAGCTGCCAGCCAGACACCGGAGTCAACTTGTCCAACACTGCCTGAAATCCATCCTCCATGACAGCCCTATTCTGGAAAAAATCCGCGAAAACATCACACCCGTTCTGGACGCAGTCAGATGCCTTCACATCTCTGGCAGCAGATTGTCCTGGTGTTGTTGATTGGAGCATTACTTTAATGGGGGCTTGGGGTAAGAGAATACCGAAGATCGCAATCTGTAGAATATGTTTTCCCAGAAATAAGTACCAACTCAGTTTACCAGCACACCAAGCTGTAACAAGTAGTGGAAATTTCAAACTATAACAAGAGTAAACATCAAACTATAAGAAGTGTTAGTGTTAACATCAAACTATAACAAGTGTATTCGTAAGTGAAAGTAGATTTCAACGAGAACATGAACAAGTAGATTTCGAATATAATTACCCGCAGCAGGAATCTTATAGAGGATGGTGTCTGCCTTGAGTCCGCCAGCCTTCAGTGGATGGTTATCTGCCAGTTTCAGATATTGCACCTGAATAGTTTGAGCCTTCGTGTTAGCAGCACCGCTAAAGAACTCGAATTTTCCGAGATCGGCACCCTGACCGACGGATGGCTTCATCATACGCGGAATTTCGGCAAAAGAATCCACGAATAGCTTACGAACTGCTTTGGCATCATCGCGCGCCGCGTTCACCCTGTGAAATTTTAGATGATGTGGTTGGTCTACATTTTGGAGTTGTGTGGGACCACTAGGAATTTCAATTTTAGTAGACAATCATCTTGAAGAAGTAAAATTGCAGTCTCAGAGAATACGTAACGAGGGCTGAAAAAATGATTTATATATGCTTTCGGTGTGGAGAGCGAGAGATAACAATGGAGCAGGCGTCAACAGAAAAATTGTTGTACTTTTCCTCCTCCGTTCCGGGCTGCGCCTTCGGTAGTGGGTTGAACTTGTCTGCTTCTAGCAGCTGATCCAGAGGTGACTTGAAGCGGTGGCGATCGCTGGCGGTGTTAGCGAGTTGCTTGAACGAGACCATACCAACCTTGGCCTTGCGGGAAGCCATAAAGGCATCACCAATTGCGTTGTTGAAGGCCAATCCCTGGGCCTCGGCAAGCAGCATGACGATGTAGCAGCAGATGACTCCCTTCCAGAAAGTCGGAGGATGTCTCTTTTCCTCCGACACCTCCTCCAGCAGCTGCTGGCGTTCTTCGGCTTGCTGTTGGTCCTCCTCCTGGTTGTCTTCGGCTAAACTCTTACCGGTGGTCACGATGGCTTCATCGCGGATACTGGATCGTCGGCGCATGTCCCGGTAGCTGGCGGTGGAGAGACGGGCCACCTCGATGTCCTCCTCTTCAGCAGACAGTTCCGCGTTCTTGTTGGAAGGCGAGAAGAGGTAGTACATGACACCCGAGAAGACACCGACGGTACCGACGGCGCAACCGAGACCAATAAAGAAGCTTTGCATGATGGGCGCCTGCTCTTCCGGGTCCAAGTTTTTGTAGTCCGTAGCGGCCTGGATCCCATCGAAGATGAAGATACAAAACAACGCAGAGCAAGCGTCGAACATCAAATAGACACCAGAGATCATCGAACTCAAGTGCTCCGGACTGTTGCGGATTGTACCAAGCAAGGTACCGAAACCTGGTATCAAGTAGTGATCATGTGGTAATTCTTGATGAAATGGTGCTGGAACACGAATAATATCACTACATCACGTTGGAAACGAAGATCAACATGCAGTTCTAACAAAGAGAGGCGAACTACCGTCCTACACCATGAGTATGACCTTGCGTATGAGTTTCGTGTGTAAGTATAACTTGATCAGCAAATAATCGAAATGCTGGGTCCTGTGGATAGAGCAACGAAGAGTAACTCAGTCTGCTCAACCTCAACAGAAGTAGAAATCAAAAGTATGTAAATCTAGAAGAAGTTCTCCAGCGAAGTCCTTGACCACCCCGAAACTGAAAGTATCCAAAAATCCGATTGAAGACAACATACCAAGTCCCTTGGAACCCTGGCCGGCGAAGCAGAGACCCAGGCAGACCATCCATCCTGCAACGTTCTTGACTCCCAGACCGACAAGGATAAATCCAATCATGCAGAGAGCACCACCATAGATGCACGTAACCGTTGCGCCGAAGGCATCGAAGACCAGACCTTTTGAGTAAATTTGAAATTTTTGATTGCAGGAGAACGAGTAGTACGACAATGTACCAATTCAAGCAGCCAAGCGCATTCAAGTGCCCGAAACCGAAATGACGATATTACTCATCTGAAGATCGAAATGAAAAATGGAAGATACTACTAGTACGAAAAAACTACTAGCATGAAGATATTACTAGTATGAAGATACTACTATTACGAAGTCAAAAGTAGAACATGAAAATCTATCCATAAAATTATCGCACCTGGAATGATCGCCAGGTACTGACCGAAGAAACCAAGGTAATAGGCGGATTGGATGTAGCCATTGTATTTCGATACGTCAGCAGCGATAACGTCTTGATCGGTACTTGAGGTGTTCGCATAGTCCGTCCACCAATGTGCAATCCCACCCTTCAAGTAGGAATAACCGTACAAAGTACCTGAATTGTAGATGTCGTTGTTTTTGAGTATTCTCAATCTATCCGCACCAGGTCAAACACGTAGCTATAATTTGGGTGAGTGTTGATAGTAAATCATGATGTGAGTCATGAGTGTGGATAGCTGCTACGGAACGCAGCAGCACCTACATCTTGTGGTAACTTCAAGATTCAATTTGAATTTTATCAACAGGAGATGGTAGGGGTGCGAAGGAAAATATCATGCTTTTTACAAAAAAAACTAACTACCGACAAAAGCAGAGGCGAATGCTCCCGTCAGGAACAAAGGCCAGTTCATCTTCTGTTCCGTCATTTTGATGCAGTTTGTGTGCAATAAAACAAGAAAGTAGAACAACTAGTTGTTGTTGGACAACAGATATTTTAGTACCGCAAAAACGTAGGTTTAGAAAAGGTTCAGAACCAGATCCTGTTGAGATCTAGATAGAGTAGGCAGTAGGAAGATGAGGCTTCTTGTAGAAATCCTAGCACGGGAAGCTTCTACCTCAACAGTCTAAGACGTCGCGTTCGCGTTATGTTGCAAGACTTAGATACTTATGCATGGGTGTGGTTGTGTAGTATAAGAAATGTTGCTGAAGTTTCGGCCAGACTCTCATTACAACAAAGAGTTTTAGGTCACACTGAGAAGGATCTAGGCAAGAAGCGAATGACAATGTAATGCCGAGTAAAAAGACATCTTTATATGAGAAAGATTTAGATTTTTTAGATTTCCATTGGTCTGGTCTCCTGCGCGTGGAAATTACTATCCATCGTGTGAGATCCTGATTGTAGATCTTCTGATCCAGATCGGATATTCTCGGGTTCTATGCAAGGGATCTTGGCTTCTACTACTTGAAACATCAAGATTGATCCTTGCCTTGGATGAGCTCTGATCAATTTTGTTCTTACTCCTCCGATCGTATCTCTTGCTGCAAGTTCTAAAGAGGATCTATTCCATGCGTATGGGTCATCGAGATCCACTGAGCATCTTCTGTTGTCAAAAGCCGCTGCTCAGAGTAATTTAGAAATCCGGTGCTGATCAATTTAGATTTCTTAGATTTTCCGGATCAATTTAGATTTTTGATCTTCTACGAGAACCTGAATACGTCCAGACTTTGTTTGGGTTTCGGATGCTCCTCGAAAACACTCTTCGGGTCGGTTTTCCTCCTTCTTTCCGTTGGACCTTTTAGAGAGAACCTTACGTTAGAAATGGATAAAAATCTCAAATAATGTCGATCGTTCCGATATCCGCTGCTTATTCCATTCTCCAGAACTTGGATTAGTGCGTCAAGGTTTCGAAAGTGTATCCCTGCATATCTCTGCTTCGACGAGCATCAACTGCGGACATGCTGAAAATTCGCCCCTGCTTTGGCTAATTCCGATGAAAATCTAAATAATCTAAAAAATCTAAATCTGAATCGACGTCCGACTTCGCTTAATAGTGTACGTCAAATCGTTAAGCATGCGCAGCTGAAGCTGCTCTTGGAGACTACGAACGAGTCGCGCACTTCCAACACATTCTAATGCCTGTATTTCTATTTTCATCGTTATTCAACAAATCCACACACGTCACCGGTTGCTGAGTCGTATCGGAGGCCGATTTGTTTGCCGCCTGCATCCAGGCTTTTCTTTCCGGCTTCGAGAATAGCGGTCACCAGTAAGGTCATACGACCTGTAGGTAGATCTGTATCAAAATCGCTTGCCTTCCTCTCTCCCGCATTAATCTGCGATGCTGCCTCAACGAACCGCTGGAAACTCACATAGCTGTATTACGATGAAAAAAATTAAGGTTTTCACTTCCACCAGAAAAATCTAAAAAATCTAAATCTAAAGTGCCCTGTATCAACGAACGCCATGCCATAGTCATGCTCTCTTCGCTCCGTGTTGTAGTTACAACTAACCTGCCCAAGGAGCCGTATAAGCGAACGCAGATATGGCTCAAAGTATCTGCACGCACGTAACAGTAAGTACCCATATCCATGCTGTCCGCAATACCGATTTTGGCTGTCTGGCACATTGCGAATGTAAAGCGGATTCAGGCTCTGTACACCATTGGTATCGTCGCCGGGAATGTTAGAGACCACTTATATGCGGAGCCGAAACGGTGTTGTCCTCCATGTATAGCACGAAATGCGGATCCTAAAGAGAGAGAAGCTACTTGGTTGAAGAAAAAAACAATACAGCGGTTATCATCATGACCGCGCATTTTGGTCACATTAACCCGAAAACAGATGCAGACCACTCCCCCCTTCTAGCAGGAGTTCCAGAAAGCGGAGCCTAGAAATTCCTTGACGTTCCTCCATAACTAAAGTATAACCTCGATGGCACTGGTCTGCGGTAACTTCGCCTTCGCTCATGAGGCAAAAAAACCGCTGTTGTGAATGCACGTCGCTTTTTGCTGCTGTCCATGAGGCCGTGTACGTTGCGTGGCCAGTGGACTTTATTTGTCTTAGAGGGGAAGGAGAGGGGAACTCCTGGGATGAACCTTCACTTCCGTCACGATCTATTTCTGCGTTTATTGTTGATGCAGCCAGGATGTCTCCAGAAAATGCACCCTTCTATAATTTTGGCGCTCTTTCAGAATTACTTTCAAATCCATTCAGAGAGTTGGCAAAGCCTCGATGAAGAGCTCGGTGGATCACTCTATTTTTCACAGGAGCACAAATTTGAATTATCTAGATCTCTAGAACCGAATTCAAGTTGTCTATATGTATGGATTAACTTTATGAAATATCTAGTATCGTATAACTGCCTTCCTTTGTTTCCCCGTCCTTTTTCCCTGTTCTCTAAAGGGGTCGCCTCTTCGATCTCATTGACCAACCCCGATGACCAATGGAAAAAGTTGAGCCTGAAGTATAATTGTCTACCAGAGAGCTACTTGTCCTCTAGAGATATCTAGTATCGTATAATTGTCTATAGAGTTAGAGCTAATCTAGTATCTTCATAAACTCCCCCCAGAACCAGACGGAAAATTTTCCCACGTTGCCATTAGGGTAATCGTATCTTCGCACGGTCGATCCAAAATCTTCTCTGCGACACCTTCACTCTTGCATGCTCTTACCGAAGTACACCTACTTTTGCCCTGCATCATCCACACGTGCAAGTCGATGTGGTGCGAATTCAGGTAGATGATTAGAACTAGTACTACGAGTGCAAGTCGATGTGGTGCGAATTCAGATAGATGATTACGGAAATCGAAATAGTGTAAATTATATATATAACTAGTTGTAGTAGACTCTTGTCGGAGTCGGTCTCGATGTCGCACGAGACATACTAGAGAACGGATACATTGCTACCGTTGTTGATTAGCATTGGCCGGTCTCCTGCATCAAGAGCACAGTAGCAATTTTATGAATGTTGAACTTGATGAAACTCCTTTTTCCTTATGCATAAGTATGAAATATCTGATCCAATTCCTGCCCACGCCTTGAAGGTTTGCAACTGGAATTTCGGCTGTGACATATAACTGGTGAAGAAGTTGAAGTCTCCCAATTTTTGCACTCGCATTCTCGCATCGTTGTAGATCGGGTCAAAGCGCTTGTGAACCTCAATCTGGAGTAGGACGTTCTTTTCCTGGGCTTTTTTGACCAGCTGTAAATGTTCGCTAAGAGACTTCACGATTGGGAGCCTTAGAGAGGTGTGGAGGTTTCCACGAGAATTATGTCGTTGCCAAATTCTATGAGCAAACTCTCCGACGCCGAGCTCGTGTTTATCGAAGAACCTCGGATGTGGATGACTATATTCTTAGCAAGAAAACCAATCAAATACAACACGCGACTGCGAAAATTCAAATTATATATCAGTCTTATTTAACGGCAGTCTCATATTCGATTTCGACCTGTTCAAGTTCATAACTTCGTGACCATGCAGTGTAAACCGGCATCGAGAGCCGCCATCGTAATGTCGAAATGGGTGTCGTCAGGCGTAAAAACAGAGCATACGTCTCCAGGACTGAAAGCTTTTAACGCTTCTTTGTAAGCGTCGGCACTGCGGATCCCTGGAGATCATAAAAGATAGTTTGAAGAATAATCGTGATCACGACCACAAGGTATAAAATTCATACACATGTTTTTCCCAAGAAGATCATTCGGAACCAAGACGCACACGCAGTGATAGACGTAGACTCGACGTACCTTTTCCCGGATATTGTTCGAAGTGTGTCCGCATCCCGGCAAACGTTATCTTTTCTGCGAAGTGTTTCCGTATCGCATCGAACTTATCCCCATTAGTGCCACAAAGCCCAATGCGTGGTCCAAGCAACCCTCGCTCCCGCAAATCAAAATGTACCACGCCTACGACACCAATCGACTTGTCACTCTTGCTCCCACCAACTTGAGTAAAACCAGTGACGTACTCTCCGGTACCGAAGAGCAGAGCGTTCATCTTCTTTTTGTTCCCACGTGAGCTTGGTGAAAAAGCAGTTGCGGTACCGAAGGCTGATCATGTAAAATAAATAGGTTAATATGAGCGAGGAAATGAAAGCTCCCGCGTGAGAAAATTGAAAAACCAAAAATTGAAACAGGAGTGGTCGCGTCAGCTGTGGACTTCCACCGGTGCTGATTAGAAGGGTACTATTATAATATGTGCTCAGACTCTTATAAATTTGTGCTTAATATCAGAAGTTAGACCATATCATGGGCCTGATTTTTATCATTTTGTTCCGTTCTCCATTCAATATAAGTATAGTATTCATCTCCTCCTCCTTTGTGCTTAACAAAATCATGCGACATACCTGGCACCGTCGAATGTTCCACCTCGTGCACGGTTGCTCCCGCCTGATCTGGCGCTACACCACCGAGCTCCGGCTTCATGGATTCGTGCTTTACTGACGGACTTGTGACCACTCTGGGCTTCGGGTGTCTGCTCTCTGATACCCTGCGACCAGTAAGTGGGCTGCCTCCGCTTGAGGAGGGTCGTGCTGCTCCTGCGCTGCTGGTTCCACTTGCCGCAGATTGTTCCGGCAAAGGCGAACTGATGTCTTCCACCGTGTGTACTGAATGATCCATCACAAACATTGTCCCCGAGTGGTCTACTTTCTCCGACTGCTCGGTGTTTTTCGACAACGATACGCGTGATACTGGATGTTTATGCTCGCTCCCCCGCTTTGGGGGAGCACCTGTGAACGTGTCGGTATTCTCCATCTTTACGAGTCTGCCTTTCACACTCTGTCGGACGACTCTGCGTTGCCACTGGTGCTCTCCTGCAGCCGCGGAGGTTGTATCCTCTGCTGCTTCCGCAGTTGTACCTTTTACACCAGCTTCAACGTTATTATCGTGTTGATCTCCCGATGTTCGTCCCGCGGAATGATCGACGGTGACGAGGTAATAGTACTCACCAGTGGCTTGATCGAGTGCGTAATAATCCCCAGTGGTGGTATCGAAATAGTAAACCGTGTTCCCGTGTTGATGTGGACCTACGGTGCCGTGATCAGCCGTGTTGTTCTCACCAGAGAACATATTGCTAGCTCAGCAGCAGGCGTAGTTGATGAAGGCATGATCTCTTCTTTTTCAAGAACCGACGTAAATTTGATTTTATTATTATTGTTTTGCTCGAAAAAATCAATTGACGACGCCTTTACAAGTTTTCTTGCACGAAGCAGATATTACACAATTTTCTAAAAATGTGTAACGTTGTACTTCTAGTATATTTGTTTTCGATCTTGCGATAATAACTGAAGGTCATCTAGTAAGCAATGTTCGTGCAAGCAGTAGCAATGCAAGACTTTCGCTCTACTTTACTTCTAGTACGTTGTCGGGAAGAATAACGAGCGCGGGCGTGGGGTCGTAACACTTAAAACTTCTCAAATTCTTATCGGTAGCAGCACTGCAACTGAAGGATTGCACACACAGAAGTTACTAACGTCTTGGAGATATCGTTCTCTTCACTCTTCAACTCGTCACTCTATCTTAGAATTGTGCACTTACACGGAGGGTCTTCTCATCGGTGACTCTCGGTAGATGCTGGATTATGTTGAATAGTACCTCGTGGTCGTGCGTTTCTCTCTCGCTACCAAATTGCAATAGGCATGAAAACACACAGGTAACTAGCAAAAGGCTTTTGACTAAGCGACGCTTTCTTTCGTCGCCACTGCTCTATCAGCAGGCGAACTTGTTCACGGGATTGGTTGATGATGATGATGATTGTACCTATTCTTGAGGTGTTTAGCAACTACTATAGACTACTTCCCTTTGCACTTCCTGATGTGTTTTCTATATATTTCCGTCCTTTTTGCTCTTGCTTGTAGCGTCATTTCCTCTCTGTATTCTAATTCCCATTTGCACTTTTTGCAGATCAATTTGTCCTTTTTTTCATTCGCCCAGCAGTGTGGTGGTACTACGATTTTTGTCAGTCGAGCGTCTGAACCAAAAAAGGGCTTCCCAGTGGCCTTGCACATGACGTGCGTCTCCGNTCGCCCAGCAGTGTGGTGGTACTACGATTTTTGTCAGTCGAGCGTCTGAACCAAAAAAGGGCTTCCCAGTGGCCTTGCACATGACGTGCGTCTCCGGACGGTAGAGCGTGCGAACAGCTCCGAGGGCATCACCAGACCAGACCCTTTGCGATTTCTTGATCTGCCCAATCTTGATGATGTCGCCATTATTATGCTGCTGTCAATGAGCCCTCATCGCTCCTTCTGTCGTCGTGAAAGTAATGTCGCAGTCTCTGCAGCTGTATCGCTCTCCATATTTGGTTTTTATCGCTCGCTTCGGGCCTCTAGATAACAGTCTTCGAAAGCCTGAGCAGGTACCCGCCTGTAACCTGCGTTTCCTCCTTTCATCACTGCCTATCTGCTCCTTCCTCGCCGCTTGGATCATCATCTTCGCATGGTCAGTCTGTTGCCACATTCCATCTGCATGCTTTTCCGCCAGGTGTTGCATAAGCAAGTGCTCCCTATTCGTCGCCGTAGCGCAGACGAGATCGTCCAGCGACTGTCCACCAATCTTCCATCTGCATATGGGGCACTCTCCTCTGGATTGCGGTTTCATCTCGTTCCAAGCCTGCTTTGCTCCTAGGTCTGAGGCAGCGGCGAATAGCAGCGTAATCTTACCCACCTTCTGGTCAACAACTAGCTCGTCTTCATCTCCTGGCAGCATGAGTCTGCGAAGAACTTCGCATCTTTCGCCGGATGCTCTGTCTTGTGCCACCAGTTTATCTTCTTTGGACCATCCTGCTGCCCCAAATCCGTTGTCTCCTAATTCAAGCGATCTTAGCAGCTCAGATTTGCGCCTTATACTGCCTCGAGGGCCTTCAAGGATCATGTACACCACCGTCGGGGATTTCATCTTGAACTTGGCTCTACAGCGGTATCTGTCGTCTTCGGGTATGATAATCTCTAGCGAAAGAGCAGCTCCAGATGGGATGGAGCCGGCGTCTACGATAACCGACTCCTGACCAGGACAGGGGACCTCGCCTCCTACCACTTGAGCTGCATGGACCTCAGCATTGTGGTGAATAGTCACTTCCACTATCGGCATTTGGTAATTAACCTCTGAATTGCATGAATCTGCGATTGGAATGCATTGCTCTTCGATCCTGGTGTCCTCTTCCTCCTTTTGCTTGAAGTTCTTCATCCTTCTTCTCTTTCCGGTTTGTCTGGTTAACATTTCCGCCATATTGCTAAGTTGGTCCCACTTCGATTCAGGATCCCAGTCAATTGCAGTAGCCGCTGCGTAAGAGTAGGCACAGGCACTAAAATAAAAGGAATTTCTGGTCGCATAGTCTCCGTCGGTCTCCTTCATCTCATCCTTGTCCTCCTCCGATCTAGTGGGCCAGGTCTCCTTGTTTTCCTCTTTTTCCACATCCTCTTTATTTGGCTTCAAGAGATGACGAATTAATTCTAGGGGAAGCCCGACTTGGTTAACGAGATGAGTCAAAAATTCTTCTGCAAGAGAGGGAATATTCCGTTGTTCCGGAGTGAGAGACTTATTGTCCTTGTTCATCTTCAAGTACTCTTGCCGACCCTCAGCTTCGCTGCGAAGATCGGGAACAAAAGTGCCACATAGTGACCTTTTTACCCAAGAATCTCGCTCCGGTCTGCGTAGCTCGTGCGCAATGTGCCTGGAGCGAATATGCTTTATAAATTCCTCCAATGGTGGAGTGCGTGTTCTCCGCCGCATCTCACGCGCTGTGACCACTCTCTTGTATATAGCCCAGCTAGGTATTCCCAGCAGAGCCGCCATGGTCATCTTCTCCGTGTCCTTGAGGTCGGATATCTCTGCTATTGTGACTGCTCTCGCCTGTAGACCGTATGTTAACGAGGCACGCACCACCGCCTGCACCACTTGGCCCCTAACCTCCTCCGGCACTCCTAGCAAACCGCTGACCTTCATTTTCATCGCGTGATATGACTTCCAGGCCTTCTCAATCTTAATCCGTACGTCGTCGTTTCTCTGCGTCTGCATGCCTAAGATCCGCTGAGCGATGCCCAGGATGTCGCCAGTTACCCTCTTGGTCGGATTCTCAGCCATCCCAGCTTCAGATAAGACACTAAGGAGCACTGTTGTCATCGGCGTCTCCGGCGGAGTCCTCCACCCTTCATCAGCTTCTTTAGCGTCTTGACTTAATTTCTTTGCGTCTTCCTCGCTCATCTGCTCTAGGAGCGTCGTATCATCCGCGAAGAGTATGGTGCGCAGGGAGTGGTGTTCGACCTCCTCCTTCGAGAATAATGCTTCCGCGACACTGCTCTGTCTATCTTTGATCCATCCTTCCTCCACCGGCAAGCAGCTAATTCCCGCCCTGACGTCAGACACCAGAAGCAACTCTTCAAATCGTCTCAGCACCAGCGCATAGCAGAGCACAAACACCGTCGGACTGCTCGGGCATCCATCTTTCGTCCCGTGCGACAGCAGGAACGTTTCCCCACCAAAGGCATGCTCTGCCAGCCGATGTGTCGCCTGTATGACCCTCCAAACCGCTGATCCGTGGAGTCCAAGTCTGCGAAAAAGGCACTCGACTAAGCGCCAATCCAGACTTGGAAATGCCTTTTTCAAATCGATCATCGTCATTATAGTGATGTCAGTCTTTGTTCCAAGTGCGCACGCGACGTCTTCCTTGATCCTCGAAAATAACGATAGAGCTCCTAAAGTCCCTCTCCCACGCCTGAATCCGAACTGCTCAGGGGGCAGCAGCTTCTCCTGCTCAGCGAAGTCCAGCAGCCTCGCGGCGAAGATGCGTGAAATTAATTTCATGATTATGGGAGACAGCACCAAAAACCGGTAATTATCCGGATCGCGGGGGCTCCCTTTTCCCTTGAACAATGGGACGTCTTTGCACCTGTGGAACCCCCCCCCTATCTCGGACAAGCCTCCTTCACTCGAGACCAGTTCATTTATCTTCTTGACCAGCCACTTCTTGTTCTCCTCGTCAAGATACCTTATGACCTGCATGCATAGACCGAGCGCGTCTCTGGCTCCGCCTAGTTGCATGTTGGATAGCGTCCTATCCAGCTCCGCGACGGTGACCTCTGCGTTCAGCTTCTCGCATCCCAGGTCCGAAGCAGGCCCCACTAGTCTCTCCATGTGATCCTCAATGGGCAGCGGCGGCAGGGAGCCATCTGGCTGAATTGGATGAGCATGTCTCGGAATGTTTCCAACCTGGTCATACTTATCCTTCGCCTGATCGCCCGTGATTGCTGGCTTAACAGCTATTTACTTCGCACCATTTGCTCTGTAGTACTGCCAAACTTGCGCAAAGTTCTTCCTTGAGCAGACCATGTCCTCTGCCGCAGCGTCTAATGGGGGGGACTGTGGAGGAATCAAAAAATCTTCGGCCCTCTGCTCAAAAAATTCTCTCAAAGATTCAAGGTTGAAATGCTCCGAAGCTGCTTGTCTTCTGTTCCGGAGCTCCATGATCAGCATAGCCAGCTGCTCTTCGCTAGGAGAAGTATTGTACACCCAGTTCTTCTTTCTCCTCTCTTCGCCATCAGCAATCAACTGCGCTTTACTCCTTATATTCGTGCCAAGCTCAAGGGCAGCATGGTCAAAGTAGAAGCCAGTCTCCGTGGTCAGGCATATCCATCTTAAACCTTTTAATCTCGGATACAACTGCCCCGAAACCCAGCATTGGTCTAACTCCGACTTTGGCTGGCCCATAGGTCAATAGGTTCTCCGGTCGCCCAGAACTGCGGGGTCGTTGGCGTCAGCAATAGGAGAGAGGATAGAGTTGGCTAGTACTAAGTTGTGTCTAGCTGCAATATCAAGAATCTTTTTGTGTCCACTATAGGATTTGCCAATTCCCTCCATTCCTAGTGCCTTGTGCGTCCCTCTTTCTTGTGCATCTCCTATTTGGATGTTTGTGTCTCCTCCTATTATCCTTGGCTTCCATTTGTCCTGACGTCGCCTCCTTGCGTCCAACATTGCCGCGTCGAGCCCATTTAGGTAGGCTTCCCTCGAGCTTACCGAGTGGCCAGCCGTTGGTCCGTAAGTTGCATGCAAGGACATCAAGTCTAAATAAACCGATATGGTCCGACCTCGCGCGCGTACAAAGTCTTGCCCTTCTTCCATCCTTCTTTCGGCATGTCTGCGCATATCATCGTTTATCAGCATAACGGCAGCTCCTCTCGTTGAAAAAATCATGTGGTTGTCTGCCCATGATACTGCAGGATCTAGGATTTCAGACCCACATATGATGTCCTTATCCCATTCTTCCATCTCCGTCAGTCCATCATAATACTGATCCTTCTCCTTATTGGATCCCAGAGCCTCACTATCTTCTTGCATATACGCCTCTTCAA